GGATTAGTCAAACCCATAGTTTCATCTTACAGGGCTAAAGTTTGTTTGGTTCTTGCTGATGACCCGAAAAAACTTATATCTGTAGATCATGGGGTGGGTTTGTAACCTGTGCCCATTATTTTTTGGACTTTTTAGTTGTTCTACAAATTTTGTTGGTCAACAAAATCTGACTGTCCTTTCTTAGAAAATTCATGTCTGTTGTCTGTGACAAATGTATAATCGTGAAAGTAGTCTTGAAATACTGATCCTTAAATGAGTTTCTCTATTTTGGGTTAAAATGCATATATATATATATATGCATGTGTGTATGCACATACCTTCATATACACTGTCTTTGTACATTCTTTGCTGGAGTGCTGTATGCCTTAATGCCACATGTATGTCCAGTGTCCTTGTAGGTGGCTTCTGTGTTTACTCATTTTGGTTTTAAGGCCCCATCCTCCAGGAAGTATTTAATCAAGTGTTTTATGTAGAAATCCTTTTCTATCTTCCAATTCCTGGTTTGAATGAACTACTCATCTGACCATCTCTCCTGTACTCACAGTAATGATGCTCCCGAGGATATGGGCACCCAGGAACTCTTGAATGCTCTAACTAAAGACCCAGGCTTTGGAACCCGATGTATGGAAGGAAACCCAATCCCGTGAGTGACACTTCAGCTATAAGTTGATTTCTTGTGACTGTCACCCAGTTTAGTTTCTGATATTACTGCATGCCACTTTGTGACCACCTCCATTTTCCCTTTGAGTCACCTTTTATTTTAAAAAGGCAAGACAGTAACCTTAGTAACAAATGGAATCTAAGATCCTGCAAAGCATATCGTTAGAGGCATTTTTTGGTTTTGAAGTTTGCCTATCAGATTCTATGCTTTAACCCAAAAAGATGACATATTGATTTTTCTAAGAATAGACATTCTCCTTCTGCGTAGTCGTATATAGATTTTTTTTATCATATTAGCCATCAGATCAAGGTTTAGAGAGAAGCTAAATAAATTTAGTGACATAACCAGATGACTGTATACAGGAGATGGCAGGTCGTGAGGCTGCTATGATGAAGCCAGTGGTGAGGTGAGGAGCACAGAGAGCTGAAGGCTGGTAGAGGTGGCTCCAAGTTTCCAAGTTCAAACAGAATTTGCACCTGAGGTCATTTAGTACCACATGATATCTGAAGAAATTTGGGAGGGTGCTGGAGAACTAGAGAGAGAACTTTAATTCCAAGCTGGAGAGGAGAAGTCTTGCAATTGTCAGAGAGCTGAACATCATTGCTATATATACAAGACCCAGCATATTCCTAAATGGGTAGTTTCTATGTACTTATTAGTTCTTAATTGGTTTTAGATGGTCTTCTATTAGTGAGAACTCCAACTTACGATTCTGACTGATGGTTCAGAGGTTATGGTCCATGGTTGATTGACTCTGTTATTTTGGTGGTCTCCAGTGGACAGATCATCATGGCAGGGGATATGTGGTCAAACACAGCTGCTTATATCATGGTGGCCAAGCCAGGAAGGAAAATGAGAGAAGAAAGGGCTGGGGTTCCAGTATTTCCTTCAAGACCATGTCCCCAGTGACCCACTTCCTTCCTTCCTTACTGGGTGGTAAATCTGGCAGCCATTATTAGCTCCCCACTAAAAAGACAATGAGGGTAGAGGAGGATCAAGGAACATCTGGACTTCACAAAACGTTTGGGGTTCCATGTGAAGGTTTTGTAGGCAAAATGTGTGAGATCAAAAGGTAATGGTGTTGACTGGTGTTGCTGGCCAGCTGAGCTGGATTTGTACATTGATTATAGCAAAGAAGGAAACAGAACTGGGCTGTGAGCTGATCTATAGAGATAAAAGAAATGCATCTGACGTCAGAGGGTGTGCATGCTCTCTGGTACCATGGACCCTGTGCTGGAGGCACTCAGAAAGAAAGGACTCTATCCTCTCAGCTCAGACTGAAATTAAAAGTTTAGGTTACAGAAAGTGTCAGCACTGAAGTAAATGGATTGGGTTGCTTTTCCATGATCGTTTAGTCTGTCTCATCCTATTGTCATTTGAAGGTTTTAGGTATGAGGTTCAAAAGAATAGGTGTCTTGGGTAAGAGGATTTAAAGCGGGAATGAAAGATCATTCTGAAAACCTGTCTACTTGGTTTTTTGATACCTAAGAAAATAAGATAAAAATGGTAGCTCTAGTTTAAATTGTGGAATATTGAAAGTGGAAGAGAGTCTGGAAATGACAAGTCATTTTATCCTCTTATTTCACCAGTGGGGAAACATGAGCTTTGAGATTACAAGGGGCTTGTGATGTTCACCAGACAATTCAGAGCTCTGGGCCGAGATGAAGGCCTTGTGCTGCCTCTGAGGACACTTGCAAAGAGTCTCACTCTTCATACATCAAGCACTCCCACTCCACTCAGCCCTCAATGCTCTATTCATTTTAGAACAGAAATTAGATCTTGCCATTCTCTACAGGATTTTCAGCATGCAGAGCATAAATACAGGCTCCTCCCCAGGCCTGTGTCATGTGGCTCCTGCCTCCCTTTCCTTCTCATTCATCATCACTCCTCTTCTTAGCTCATCACACTGTCTTCTTGTTCCTCAAATATGCAGACTCATCTCTTCACAGGGCCTTTGTGCCTGACTTTTCATTGCTTCTGCTCGGTGTGTTCTTTCCCGCTAATAATTTTTTATTATATATGTATATTTTTTTATTTTAGTGGGGGAACATGCATACTGTGGTGTATCTGTAGAGTCAGAGGATTACTTGCGGGAGGTGGTTCCCTCTTTCCACCATGTAGGACCTGAGGATTGAGCTCAGATTTTCAGGCTTGGCAGCAGGTGCCTTTACCCACTGAGCCCTCTCTCCAGCCCATCCTCCTAATTCTCATTGTGTATGTTTCGGCAGTAGTATTGTCTTGGATTCAGAGCTCGGTTTTCCTTATGTAGTCTCCCTTTATTTTGGGTCATGTAAGCTTGGATTGTTTATTTGTTGTCTAACTCTTTGGGGGCTTGCAGAATCCATAAAGGCAGAGCCAGTGGTTAGGAACGTGTGGGGAAAGATGCAAAACCGTGTGTGGAACATAATAGACTCCTGATGTCAACAAATGGTGGTTAACTGAATTGAACACAGTCCAGTCTATGAACATTTAGAACATGTTTGTGTTTCATTTTCTTGATCTACAAAATGATGCCACAGCTTCCCAGGCCGCTGTGAGGTCAAACATATTGAAGTCATACTCTTCCAAATGGCAGGGCTAGGCACATGTTTGTGGTTATTAAAGAACAAGCCTGCATTCCTAAGGCAACAGGGAAAGCTGGGCCCTTTCCAGCTGATCCTACAACTCTTCATGTCCTGCTTTTGCAGAGACACTCCTTGCTTGGTTGGGGAGGAGGACTGGACCACGGCTCCTGTTCCCCAGACCATCATGGACCTCTTCCAAAATGGGAACTGGACGATGAAGAACCCCTCTCCTACCTGCCAGTGTAGCAGTGACAAGATCAAGAAGATGCTGCCCGTGTGTCCTGCAGGGGCAGGGGGGCTGCCACCTCCTCAGGTGAGTCACCATCAGGGTGTGACTCAGCAGTGGGTGCAGGGTGGACTGGTAGCATCTGAGTGGGAGGGAAATGAGTAAGGCGTGATGACAGGGTGGGTGATTTCAGCCCCAATCTTGTCAGAGAAAAGAGCAAGTGGGATATGAGGGAGGTTTGGATCACATTGTGCCCGTCCCTGTCACACAGCTACCACAGCCCCAGTTTCCAGCCCTGGCTGTGCCACAACTGAGCTAGTGACTGTTGTTAGCTCCACGGGCCTGTTTCTTCACCTCAGGAGGGAAGGCTGGAACACAAAACTTAGGTGTATCTTGTGAAATCTGATGTTCTCTAAGGTTCTGAGTTTGGGAGGAGTCTTACTAGAGCTAGCTCTCTGTTGCTTTACCATCCAGGTTGGAAAAGAGATTTTTAATGGCTATGCACACTTAAAGAAGTCTTGGTTGCCACTCTAAAATAGCAGCTAAGCTATTCACCAGTATAAATGTACTGAGCAAAAGAATTCACTGGGAGCAGTTCATAATGCAGTTCCCTAAAATCTCTTGTGGCTATGAAGAATGCCATCTAGATATTCAGATTGATTCCCCAGGGAAGACTGGGGTTTGGCATAAATAAGTGCCAAGTGCCAGGGGCAGACTAGACTAGGTCTTGATGGTGGGTGGCTCATCATCCTGCCTGGGCCCTGTGCTCAGGGTTCTAGGTACGTAGTTGAGGCACATGTGTTCCTATTCTTGGTCTGTTTTCTCCCCAAATTCATATCTATAAAGACACATGTACTTGGTTTTTATGTGGTGACAGAGAAAACAGAACACTGCGGATATCCTTCAGAATCTGACCGGAAGAAACATTTCGGATTATCTGGTGAAGACATATGTGCAGATCATAGCCAAAAGGTGACTGTTGTTGAATCCTGGCCTGTGCCTTATCCTTGCTGAGTAGAGGAGTTAGAGGCCTAAAAATAGCGGACTTGGGTGGCAGGGAAATGCCAGACTATGGTTCTGTTGGAAATTTAGCATATTATATCAATTATAGAAGGTGATATGAGGAATTGTGAACTTTAAAATTTAGATTTTAAAGGATGGGGCTGCCTGGTCTAGGATGAAAATGAATGATAAATGTGGACTCAGATTTGAATTCTGACACTTAGTAGCCGCTTGGCTAGGGCACCTCGCCATCTTTTTAAAGTCCTAGTTTGTATAAATGTGATTTACTGCTGTTCTCTTAAGTGTGTTGTGAAGGATAAGCACAGTGGCCTAAGCAAAGAGATTTGGGTCCTCCCTCATGGGTGGGCCTCAATGAACATCTGACGTTCTGAGGAGAGGTTAGAGAAGATGCTGTAGCTTTCATGAGCCTTTAAAGAGCCTTGTAGCTTCCTGGGACATGGCCACATAGTACTGAGTGTTTAATCAATGCTCAGAAAGCGTGTTTCTTTTCCATCAGCATGATCAGGTAGCCTGTCTCTGCTAGAAGTGATTTTAAATGACAAGAATGTGCCAGAATGCTAGTGATGTTGAGTTTCCGCAAGCTATAACATCTTCATGTGATTCACAATGGAAGTATTTAAATTGAAAACATTCTTAGTTTTAGTTATATGTGGGTCTCTGAGGTGGTTTTTAAGTTGGCTTAATTTGTGTGCTTCTCATATACATAATATTTTTAACAGCAGGTGAGCTGAGGCTAGCCCTCTTTGCACTGGCGCAGCCTGCGGTGCTGGCCTGATCACGGGGCTGCTTCTGTGTTTTATCCTCAGGCAGATAATTCCCCTTTGTACCATCAACAGTATCAATGCTTGCTAGACCTGATTTTTCTTTGTTCTTCCTTTCTGCAGCTTGAAGAATAAGATCTGGGTAAATGAGTTTCGGTAAGTTGATCTCTTCTTTCTGTTTTTTTCTGACACCTCAAACCCTGGAAGAATGATTTTGATGTAGGAGTCTTGGATGGAGGCCGGTTTATAGGTGTGGAGATTGTTTGCTATTCACACACTCTTTGGTGTCACCTCATGGTGAGGAGGACAAAGGCACTGCAGACTTGGGGAGCACGCAAGGGCACAGCCAGAGTTAGGTTCCTTGTGGGGTTTGCCTAGGACATCTCTTTGTTTTGGAAGCCTCTGAAATATCTGGCATAGTGATTTCCTTGAGGAGACTCAGAAACCTCTGCAGGGCCTCTGGGGGCTTTAAGTAAGTTCAGTGTCATGAAGGGAAAACCTCTTCTAGCTGTACTTTCCCCAAACAGATTCCCAAGGGTGTCCAGGAACTCAAAAAAAAATTTTTCAGACCTTTCGCACAAAACTAGGAAGGCCTTGGAGGAAATAAAAGCCATCGAAACCATTTATTTTCACTGTATTTCAGCCCGTTTTCCCCTCTGGATTTTGAAGGAGTAGATGGGAGTGGGGAAGGTAGCATTCTCTAAGTCAGTTTGTACGTCATGGAATAACAGCAGATGTGGCTGCCTCCTGTGACCTCAGAGGCTCTGTTTCTGAGTCCTACTTTTCCTCTCTGCCTTTTCCCAGCGTTCAGGGATCCCTGGAACTCTGGGCAAAGCAGACATCGGCTCACATAGTGGTCCTCATGCTAGGGAAGACAAGACCTGTCTGTGATCCCTACCAGCCTACTCAACAATGTGCCCATCACCACTTGCCCTGACTTCCCATCTGCATTTTCAGGCCTGAGCCTACAGGGGCAGCAGCACCGATCATATGAATGTCCTGTCAACCCTCAGTCCCAGGCCTTCCCTATTGGGCAGCAACCTTGAGAATTAAGGTAGCTAGAATTTATGAGAGGAGACCAACTTGCAACTTCCCTTAAGCCAATGTTGGTCCTAGTTTGAATAAGAAATGGCTCTCAGGGCTGGAGAGATGGCTCCAAGGTTGAGAGTACTGACTGCTCTTGAAGAAGACCTGGATTTGATTGCTAGTACCCACATGGTAGCTAACAGCCATCCAGAGCTCAAGTTCCAGGGGATCCGACACCCTGTTTTGACCTCCTTGGGCACTGCACAACACGGGTGCACTTTCATTCATGAATGAAAGCTCATGTAATACACTCATATACATAATTTTTTTTTTAAAAAAAAGAAATGGCTCTCAAAGAATCTCCTGCTGCAGAATCTGCTGTCGAGTGCCGGCTTGCGGCTTACTGTCTGAATTTTAATGGCAGGCTGTTTTTTTAGGTATGGAGGATTTTCCCTGGGTGTCAGTAATTCTCAAGGACTTCCTCCGAGTCAAGAAGTTAATAATGCTATCAAGCAAATGAAGAAGCTCTTGAAGCTGGCCAAGGTACAGCATCCATCCAGAGACATATCAGGAAAATGGGGCTGGGACATGAAACTAGTGGGCAGACTGAGCTGATCCCAGCAACTCATTGTTCTTTGTATGTTTACATACAAAGCAATTTTAGCCAGATCAGAATGACCTACTCTTACTCAGCATATATTTAAATTCTCAAAGTATAGATCAAAAATGAACTCAGAGATTAAAAACTCATAACAGCAGTCTATACAACTACCTGGTTGGTAAATAAATTGGCCTTTACTTTCCTAAAACAGGAATGAATTATTTTCCTTTCCAAGCTGGTAGCTGGTCTTCAAGACATACTGAGCCTGTATTTGTTTCTCTGTATCTCTGATTTCCCAGTTTGAAGTGAGAGTTGGGGGTATCAGGTGACATGGACTCTGGGGTCTTGAACAGCAGTGCTGGGCCTAGAATCTAAAGCTCTGCTTTGAAACACAGGTTTACATGTCCAACACATCTGCCTGTGGTGTGGGTTCTAATTCTTGGAATGTTGCCAGGGGACTCTTTGAAAATTCTTGGGACCTTTAAGTCATGGAATTTCTTGGTGATCCCTTCACAACTTGTGACATTTTGGCAACATTATGCTGTGGATTTTTGCTTACTTGGTTCTCAGGAATCATGTGTTTAATGGCTTCAAATTTGATTTCAATGGATGAAGTCCTGGTAGTATTGCTTTTCATAGGGTTGTCTATGGCTTACAAATTTCAGACTCACTATGACCCATGTCTGTGTGAACAGTCACAACTGAGGCAGGATTCTGTTGTTTACAGGACAGTTCTGCTGATCGATTTCTAAGCAGCCTGGGAAGATTCATGACAGGACTGGACACCAAAAACAATGTCAAGGTAAGCCACAGTCTATGTTGTGCTAGCTCCTTGGCAAACAATAATCCTGTGTTCCCTGAAGTCTCGATGGTCAAGTTGATAGGGGCATTCATGACAGAAAACCATTAACTTTTTACTGGTGAGATAATACAGCGTAGTGATTCAGAGAAATTGTTTTGACACCAGACTTAATGTGAACCAATGTGATCTCGCTGTTAGCCACTTAACCTATTTAAGCCTCACTTTCCTCATCTGTTACATGAAGACTAATCATGGTTGTCTCTAATGGTTAGGAGAGTAACTGATTGAAGGTGTAAGATCTTCACACAGTACTGATCTTCACATACTACTGACCCCACGACCAGTGGTCAGTAGACCCTGTGTCTTATTACTTTGCCATTCCTGTGACTGTAATGCTTTTGGTTTGCGACTGGAATTTCTTTCAGAAGTCTCCATGCATGTTTTCTGTGTGTGTGTACACTTACTCCTGGGAGCATGGTTTGGTAGCATTACCTCAAACCTGGTCTGTTTAATTTTAGGTGTGGTTCAATAACAAGGGCTGGCATGCCATCAGCTCTTTCCTGAATGTTATCAACAATGCCATCCTCCGGGCCAACCTACAGAAGGGAGAGAATCCTAGCCAGTATGGGATTACTGCTTTCAATCATCCTCTGAATCTCACCAAGCAGCAGCTCTCAGAGGTGGCTCTGTAAGTGCGCTTATGTCTGAATGGGTGGGTGCGAGCATGTGAAGGGGGTCATGGAGCAGGGGAAAGGGAGTACGAAGCTGGTTGGGGCAGCTAGAGATAATTATATGAATCTGGGTTGATCTAGGCTCCGGGAAGAAATTTATCAGCTTACAAATTGGCTGGCAGGCTTTCTGGAATTACAGAAGGAAAGACCCAGATCTGTGAAAAGTATCACATTTGATTAACTCACATAAAATGAATTTAAAAATGTTAATAGAATCCTAAAATAACTCACAATTAACACTTACAAAAAGTGTTTCATTTGTTTTAGAACTAATCTTTTAAATTCAGTGAATCATGCTTTTTTGTAGTTTTTAAAAAATTTCCCCATTGTGTGTGTGTGTGTGTGTGTGTGTGTGTGTGTGTGTGCTCATGGGCATGCACGTGCATATGTGCATGCAAACATGCTTGCAGATTTGTTGGACTGGTATACTGCATTGGTATTTGTGCAGATTTGTGAGATTGGTATACTGCATCCCATTGTTTTCTATTTTATTTAAAGCCATAGAAATTAACTTGTATGAATGGTTTCACAATAGAATTTCTTCCTTATTTAGTTTTTTTTTAATTTATTATTTTTATTTTATATGTATGAGTGTATTGTCTGCATGTGTGTAAGTGTGCCCGTGTTGTGCAATGCCTACAGAGTCAGAAGAGGGCATTGGATTCCCCTGGAACTGGAGTTGTTAGCCACCATGTGGGTGCTGGGAGTCAAACCTGGGTCCTCTGCAAGAGCAGCCAGTGCTCTTTACAACTGAGCCACCTCTCTAGCCCCCCTTATTTAGTTTTTAACTTACACTTTTTTTTGTTTATGGATATTTACAACTTACTACTTTTACAAGGTCGAAAATGTGAACAACATTAAAGACCCATTCCCATTTGATCATTCCCATACTTTCTTCAGTAGATACGATGGACACATTTTTATCCTGAATTTGAATATTTTTTTGTAAAATTTTACTTAAAAATTATTACATGTACCCTGACCTAAGATATATTTAGTAAGCGTGTTTTTCCCTGGGTTGTGCTTTGGTTGTACATTTATGTCTTCTTATTTACTGTGTCTCCAACTGCATCAAAGACTCCTCTGATATTTACTGCCTCTTTCTTTCTAGGATGACCACATCAGTCGATGTCCTTGTGTCTATCTGTGTCATCTTTGCGATGTCGTTTGTCCCAGCCAGCTTTGTAGTGTTCCTGATCCAGGAGCGGGTCAGCAAAGCAAAGCACCTGCAGTTCATCAGTGGGGTGAAGCCTGTCATCTACTGGCTCTCCAACTTTGTCTGGGATATGGTGAGAACACAAGGCCTGCTGTCTCTGTATGAATCTCTATTGGGACCTTGGATTAGTGAGGATAAGAGAGAAGCAGCCCATAATTATCACCAAGGACTGTTCCAATTAGTCTAAAAGTATATAAAATAGGAAAGGGGAAAGGCAGCTCTATACTTCCATGACAACTACCATGGCATTGTCTTTAGAGCTAACTGCATACCAGGAGATCATCTGACCACAGTGACTGCAGTTATTACCAACTGTCTCCTCATAGTGATAACTATGGAAAGAGGCTGGGGAGATGGCTCAGCAGTTAAGAATGGTTGCTGCTCTTGTGGAGGACCTGAGTTTGGTTTCCAGCACCCATATTTGGCAGCTCACAGCCAGGGGATTTGCTGCCCTCTCTGGCCTCCACAGGCATTTGCACACACGTATATATTAACATGCAGTTAACTCACATACATACATAAATAAAAATAATTCTTTTAAAAAAGAATAGAATGGAAAGACCGTAGTTAAAACCCAAAGCCAATACCTCTAACGTATCTGATGGGTTTTAAGCTAGAGTCAGGGTAATTTTTGCCTTACTAGGAAAGTCATTTGTTGTAGAAAACTCCATAAGTTGTACCAGCATCTTATCGATACATTGCAAGTGTTTTGTGTATTAGTTATACTGTACTGTTTTTGTTTGGATCAATATGAAGTATTTCATAGAATCCCGAAGTTCTAATCATTGGTAAATGACCTGTATTTCTTTATGGCTACCATTAATTCTAAATCACACAAAGCAAATATAATCCTTTATCCAGGAACACCTCCTTAAATATTTAAAGACAGCTTTCATTTAGCAAACTTTTCCCATGGATGAGATGCTATATAAGAGCGGACATCTCAATCTCTAAGAGACCATGCAGATGTGATGATGATGGAGATAATGATGTTGCGTATGCTAATTATACCAAGCCTCTAAGACCTGCCACTCTTCTGCTCTGATTGCTTTTCTGTGGCTATGCTCCATTCGTTAATATTCCCTTTGAAAAGCCAAGCCTAGAATTAACCTTGTGTTCAGGTCTGAACAGTTACGAGTCTAGAGAGAGCTGATCTTTATCTCATCCTTCTTACTGCAGCACAAGGACATTACAATTTAGAAGTAGCAGTGAACTGAAACCTCCGTTTCATACGAATGATTCCTAAGTTGGTCTCATTCATTCTATGCTAATGCATAAAATCAACTTTTTTGAACCTAACTTTTTTATCCCTGTTAAACTGCGCCTATCTTCTCTTGATCCAGCAGTTACTTCACTCGTTTAAATTATACTGAGTATATACTACGAGTCTGACCATGTTTGACTATGACTAGGAGATTCGGAGATGAAAGATCAAGTCCCTGAACTCAGGGACATCACCTATATTTTCATGTATTTTCTGTCCCTTCCTGCTTCAGAGCCTGAAGTTTGCTGGGAGCGTATCTTCATTTGAGTTGTTGGCAGACACATAGAATAGGAGGGGCTGAAGTGGTCTGCAGTGGTAACTGTCCCAACAGCTACCAACCCACAGTCAGTTCCCTGCATAGCTTCTTCCTCTCTGCCAGCTATGCGTTCTCAGAATTATCCCTAGGTCAAGTCTTTATTTCTTCATTTTAATGCTTGAAGCACTGTCAGGACAGACTTTAAAATTATTCTCAGTGTGATGAAACAATTCTGACATTCACGTTATAGGCACTTACCTCATAAATAGATTACATGTGAGATTGAACTTGGGCAGACTATAATACAGCATTAATGATGGAACAGACACAATCATCTCTGGGTAGAATAATGGAAGCTTATTTGCCTCCTGTGAAATTGAAATGACTCTGACTGAGAATCCATCCTTCAGTAAGTTTACTGAGCGTGACACCTTGGCTTCGCTGTGGGAAAGACAGAAGGGCATGCAGTTTATAAAATCAGCCAAGGGTAAAATGCTTGTCAAAATGTATTGTCCAGCATTTTGATTAATAGTTTATGTGGCTTCATTAATTCAGAGTTATTCTCTGATATGTTTACCTGCCCTTTTTTGTCCGATGATGGTGAAGGCTTGGAATCTGTTGTATATTTGACTTATTTCCTTATTTTCTCTTTTAGTGCAATTATGTGGTCCCCGCTACGTTGGTCATTATCATCTTCATCTGCTTCCAGCAGAAGTCCTATGTGTCCTCCACCAACCTGCCTGTGCTAGCCCTTCTGCTTTTGCTGTATGGGTAAGGCGACTCTGGGTGGGGGACTCACCTGGTGGATAAGGCATATGGTATTCAATGTTAGAGAGAAGGCAGGAGACTCCAGTGGATGTTTGCTTTTGTGTCTTACCAGATGGTCAATCACACCTCTCATGTACCCAGCATCCTTCGTGTTCAAGATCCCCAGCACAGCCTACGTGGTGCTCACTAGCGTGAACCTCTTCATCGGCATCAATGGCAGTGTGGCCACTTTTGTGCTGGAGCTCTTCACCAACAATGTGAGTGCAGCAGAAAGGGCACGTCCAGCTGGGTTGCACTCTGGGTGCCAGAGACAGTGATTAATCTTCATCTTCTTCCACTTGTCTGAGACATCGACACCACTGACTACTCTGTCCTTTCTCTGCCTTCTCTAGGCCCATATAGCCCCGTTTCTTTCTTGCTATGCCTTGTGTTTCTCTGGTCAAACCTTTCCGTTTCCTCTGACAGTTCTTTACACTTCTTTCTCCTTCGGGTGTCGTTTTCGTGAAGACTGAGTCCTCTGTTGTCTTTGTTTTCCTGTTTAGACACTGCTGTTCAATCTTCAGGCTCTTACCACCACCACTGTGTCTCATTTTCATCTTTCAGATCTATGCCTTGATTGTTCCCTGGGGCTCTGTTCGTTCTCACTGCCTGGTGAAAGGCTCCATTTAAATTATTTGTAATTACCCCAGACCAGACATGTTGTTGTAATCTTTCCAATTAGAGCCCGTTATTTCTCTCGCCGTCCCTGTTGTACTTACTGGCATCTGTGTAGTTGCTCGTGCTGACTCTCTTGGGCACATCCTAGATGCCTTGCTGTTGCTTATTTCCCACATTCATCTGGTCACATCAGGGATCCTTCCAGTTTCAAATCCCATCAACAAGATTATTCGTTCTTGTCACTGCCTTTGCCCCAGCACCTCACCTTTGCGTACAATGCCTTTTGTGGGTGCATAACCCTTCCTGGCCAGTTGCTATACATCATTTCCCAATTCTTTGTCATTTCTCTTAAACTATCATACTCCAATAGGTCTTCCTTGAAATGCCCTTCATCTGAAAGTTCCGGGAGCATCTCCATACCCATTAAGATGTATTTAGCTCTAGGGACTGGAGAGATGGTTCAGACATTAAGAGCACTTGCTGCTCTTGCAGAGGACCCAGGTTCAGTTCCCAGCACCCACATGGTGGCTCATAACTGTCTGTAACTCTAGTTCTAGGGGATCTGACTCTCTCTCCTGGCCTCTGTGGGCACCAGGCATGCACATGGTACTCTTACATACATGCAGGCAAAATACTCATGCACATAAATTAAATCGTAAGAAAAAAAAGATTTGTCTCCGATGTGAAGCTGTCCTTCTTTACCTGTAGGTATGCATGCTTTCTTGTCTCTGGACTCTCAGAACCCTCAGTCCTCCTTCCATCAAACACATATCCTGTTATGTCATCATTTCCAATTTACACATTTGGTTTTTTTCTAAGTTAAATAGATTATTATCATTCACATCCTCCATGTCATTGCCCAGAGCTCCAGCATATAGCAACTTACTCAATAGCTATATATTTGGCCACGGTTGCCTTAAGGGGTCATATTACATTCTCATGTATTTGAGAAGAGTTTTTGAAGTTCTAACAAAATCCTGAAACTCAAATATTGACCCAGGTATGACAGATTTGCTTTTAAAATGCTAAGCAAATGTTTTGTTATGGATTTACTTCTGATTAATGTAGCCGTGTTTTGAAGCATTGTGTAGTTCCACATAATCAGCAATACTCCAGATTTTCCAAAGAACAGAAAATGCCTGCTGCTGTTTACTGGTATCCGAATTCAAAGGTACAACCTGTCTACAGGGAATCAGATGTTTTCTTTACTCCCATATTTCAGTCTTTGATTTTTAGCTTAAAGTATGAGCGAGTGAAATTTATTCCTCCCCCACTCTCGTTTCAGAAGCTGAATAGCATCAATGACATCTTGAAGTCTGTGTTCCTGATCTTCCCACATTTTTGCCTGGGGCGAGGGCTCATAGACATGGTGAAAAACCAGGCAATGGCTGATGCTCTGGAGAGGTTTGGTGAGTAAGGCAGTGGGTGTACAAAGCTTTAATGAATGTGACAATGTGCATGGGTCTTGGCGCCCTGATCATTGGTTTAGGGAGAGGCAGTGGCTAGACGTAGGATGTCTGTCCTCCAAGCACCTCCCAAGGACTGATGCTAACACAGTTGGTCCGTCATGGGTCTCAGTTATCTGTGCCTCTGATGGCTCTAAGATAAGTGAGAGGGTAATTTTGGAAATAAGGAAAATGCTGGCATATGTGTAAACCCAATGCCCAACGCCACTGGTTGAGTTTGTCAGATCACTGGAAAAAATCACACCATAGCTTTGGGAATTAAACACAGGCCAGAGATTCAAAGAGAAAGACATACATTTTGACTATTAGGAAAATCACGTGCCTGCAGATATGCTCATATATTATCTTTCCCATGGTCTATAGAGAGATCATTTACTGAAGCTCTTTCCTACTTTCATAGTGGTTAAAATATTTCTCCTGCCATCATATGACTATTTTTCGTCTATTGGTTAATACAGTTAGATGAGCAATGTGATTTAATAGACTTAGAAGACTTTTCCAACTTAAAGGTACAAAGAAGACATAGGAGGAATTTAAGGGACGTCCTCATAAACCCAGTTATCTTAAGTCCCTAGGTTACATTAAATGCTGCAGAAATGGGCATCTTGGGTTGGAGAGATGACTCAGCAGTTAAGAGTATTGGCTATTCTTGCAGAGGACCTGGTTTTGATTCCCAGCACTCACATGGTGGCTAACAACCATCCATAACTCCAGTTCCAGGGGAATTTGACACCCTCATTTGGGCCTTGCTTGACACGGGTACACTTACACATATGCAGGCAAAACACTCATATATATAAAATAAAAATAACAAATAAAATTTAAAAAAGAAATGAGCATTCTTTGAATGCATTTTCTGTTTTCTAATACTTCTTTATTTTTTGGAGACAAAGTTTCTCCTGTTTTTTTTTGTTTTGTTTTGTTTTGTTTTGCTTTTTGAGAAAAGGTTTCCCTGTAGCCCCAGCTGAAATTCTGATGGATAGAGGGCCATGTTATATTTCCCTAAATCAGACCTGGAAAGTAACCACTCTTTTGTTATTTGCTTTTCTTCTTGTCATGGATGATAGCCATTGATATTTCTAGAAAAATATGTGCACTTGATCCCAAAGTTAGGGAGGGGCCACAATAGCTTCTTTTTTAAAATATAAAACGAGCCCTTTAATTTTCAAGTGTTTTAAAAAGTGAATTTACACCGAAACCAGCCATGAAGGTTAGCATAAAATTTACTAATTTCAACTTAAAAAAAAAAAATAGAACAGCTGCAGCACCCCCTCTGTACAGCACTGATTCTGGGCGAATGCAGAGGAGTCAGCCTCGGAAACAGGATTGCACTCCCTGGAGCTAGGGCTGTGATTTCTGGTGCCTTCTTTCTGACCCAGTGTCCACATTGTGTCTAACAGGGGAGAATCGCTTTGTGTCTCCACTCTCCTGGGAACTGGTGGGACGAAACCTTTTTGCCATGGCCGTGGAGGGAGTGGTGTTTTTCCTCATTACTGTTCTCATCCAATACAGATTTTTCATCAGGCCCAGGTAAGCTTTTCCTTAGAACCCATAGAGCTCCTGGATGAGGGTCATAGGAAATGCTTGCCAGTGGGGACTGGATTGAGTGGAACTCAGACAGTTGAACCAGTTTCCCGTCACGAGCCTCCCCAGCTCCCGACCCGCCAATCTAGAAATTATGGCAATAAGTTTCTATGAGATTGCTTTTGAGACTTGAATTTTGTCTTGAGAAGTAATTTAAAGGTTTTTTTCCTTCTTAAAAATGTTTCTCCTAAGACCTGTGAAGGCAAAGCTCCCACCTTTGAATGATGAAGATGAGGATGTGAGGCGGGAGAGGCAGCGAATTCTGGATGGTGGAGGACAGAACGACATCTTGGAAATCAAAGAGCTGACAAAGGTGGGATTTTGAGTGTGGACTGCAATAGTTTGTCTTCGGCTCTTTCAGTTTTGGCTGCTGGAGATTAGCATTTTGCTGACTTGCTTAATTGAAAAAAAAAAATGCTTCCCCAAATGTGCATCTATACCAAGCTTCTGTCAATTTTATTTAAAGTACCCCATAGAGACTTCTTAATTAAAGAAATCCTACTGAGAATACTCCTGTTATGTGAATCCTCACTTTTGGTTTTATTTATTTTGCATATTTATACTTACATGTTATTAAAACAACTAATATTGTGTATCTAGCAGAAGTACAGAGAATAAATTGGTTGATTTTTGAGTTTCATGGCTCAAAAGGCAACTGTATCTCCACTGCTCAGAAAGCATGTCTGTTTCAGCCCTCTCCAGATACCAGAATTCTCAAACTTTGCTTCCCTGTAGCCCCAGATGTAGACCAGGCTGGCCTCAATCTCATGGAGATTTGCCTGCCTCTGCCTCTGCCTCTGCTGGGAGTAAAGGGATGCACCACCACACCTGGCAAGGTTTAATTTTAAAAATCATATATACAATTATTATATACACTTCTAGAGAACTTAATTGAAAATATATGCTGTATTTATATGTTAAATGAAAAATTATGCGACTACTAGTACTATGTTTTTTAAAAATATTTTTATTTATTATTTTTATTTTATGTGTATGCGTGTATTGCCTGCATGTAGGTAAGTGCACCTGTGTTGGGCAATGCCCACGGAGGACAGAAGATCCCCTGGGACTGGAGTTATGGACAGTTGTTAGCTGCCATGTGGGTGCCGGGATTCGAACCTGGGTCTTCTGCAAGAACAGCCAGTGTTCTTAACCACTGAGCCATCTCTCCAGCCCTATTACTTGGTTTTGAAAAGACTCAAATTAGAAACAACAAAGAAATTCATTTCTGAGTTCCAGAGTCAGTCAAAAGCCATTTGTCACAAAGTCAGAGTAAGGCTGTTAGCACATCCAGTGTGTGCCTTAGTCTTGTTTGTGATGTGTGCATTAGAACCCCTTTTCTGTAGTAGCTTGGGAGAGTCCAGAGTCATTGAGGTGCATGGAATTTTGTATTTCATTGGTTGCAGATCTACAGAAGAAAGAGGAAGCCTGCCGTCGACAGGATTTGTGTTGGCATTCCTCCTGGCGAGGTAAACACACTTTGTGTTGGGTTTTGTCTTATTAATTCAGACTATATCTACCCGATAAAACAAAAATGTAAGTGGGGAAAATGACTTTTAGAGGCTTCCATATTTGGGCCTATGAGAAAGAATTAGTTATGGAGAGAATAAGGACCTCTTGTCAAAACAGAACAATTTTTGAAGATCTCAGGCAGTTTGAGAAAGCACACACATCCAAATCGTGCTTTTGTCATCCACAGAGAGGATGAAATTCAAATAGGTCAAACAGTATATTTTCTCTTTTCTAATTTTTTTGCTTTCTTTTATGGCCTTTAGTCAGGTTGGGTGGCATTCTGTCCAGCTGGCTTCTTTATTGCTTTTCACAGATTGACTCCAGTCACTGATGACTCAGTATTTATAAATATACTCATATATAACATGACCCTATTATTTTATACACATACACACATATGCATTATATATATGACATTTTAGAACCAATACAATATTTAACTTTTCATCGATACTTAAAGATGGTACTTTAAGGTCAATTTCAAATAAAAACTAAGCTCAAGAGGCTGTTTTAGAAGGTTTAGAAGTTCATTTATTCAACTTACCTAATCTTGTTTCTTCAGTGCTTTGGACTCCTGGGAGTTAATGGTGCTGGAAAATCATCAACTTTCAAGATGTTAACTGGAGACACCACTGTTACCAGGGGGGATGCTTTCCTTAACAAAAATAGGTGAGAAAAGAAGTGGTCTGCATTTGATACAATGATTTTCTTTTCGGTTTAAAGAAATATGTCATTATTTTTCTGACTCTGTGTGCTGAAATATATGTTGAAATATAGTTAGGCATAAACTCTTGAAAGTCATCCCTAATTTCACTACCTAGAAATAAGCTTGATTTTTACATTTTCCTCTTTTTAACAACTTTATTATATAGATATAATTTACTAGTTGTAAGAGAACAGGTCAGAGATTTTTAGTAAGTGTAGAATTATCCACCCATCACCACAACTGGGTTTTAGAACTCTTCATCAGCTTAAATCCATCTTTCTATACATGTAGGCATGTCATGAAATAGAAATCATATTCTGTATAGATTTTGGGTTTTCACTAATGAGTATATGATGAATATTTCCCAATAGATTGCATATTCTTTTTTTCTTAAAGATTTGTTTTTTATTTTATGTACATGTGTAAGTGCCTATGTATATGTAATGTGTACCATGTGTGTGCCTGGTACCTGAGGTGTCCAGAAAAGGGTATCAGATCCTCTGAAACTAGAGTTGCTAGTGGTGATGGTGAGCCACCCAGTGAGGGTGCTGGGGACTGAACCTAGGTTCTCTGGAAGAGCGGCATGCACTGTTAACCACTGAAACATCTCAATGGGTTCTAAGATCTAGAAACTTCACTGTGTACTCATCTGATTTGAGTAAGTCCTTATAAATGTTGGGCATTTATTCACTTTCATTTTTCACTGTGTAAATATATCCTTGATAGAACATTTATTATTTCCTCAGGAATCATTCCCATGGTGAAAGAGCATATACCTGTCAAATTGCCCTCTCTAAAGTGTGTACCAATTGATAAAGTCACCATTAGGTCATTTTCTAATCTTTGTGAATAAAGCTGTGCATGAGAGAGAGGCCTGTTAGGTGATGTTACCCTTGAATACTCTAAATATGTGGGGATTCTCCAGGCTTTAAATTTATTTATTTATTTATTTATTTATTTATATTCTATGTGTAGAAGTATTTTGCCTGCATGTATGTAAGTATACGACATGCATGCAGTGTCCACAGAGACCAGAAGAGATCATCAGATAATCTGGAACTGGAATTATGGATTGTTGTTAGCTGCTGTGTGGGTGCTGAGAACTGAACCCAGGTCCTCTGTAAGAGCAGCCAATGCTCTGAACTACTGAGCCATCTCTCTAGCTCCTTCCCAGGCTTTTTATGTGAATAAATATATAAGGCAGTGCCTTCAAACTTTTCTGACCATGACTATGTAGGAAATACATTTTATATTTTGTTGTAGTGCATACAGAGACACATAAACACATATGCCTAATGAAATTTCATTAAATGGTACCTACTGTTATGATTTTAGTGTAATCTGATAGCTCATATTTGAGCTATGTCATGCCATTTAAAAATTGCTGCCTGGGACCTACTAAATTTATTTTACGCCCCAGCAATTGGAGAGACCTCACAATTCAGAAGCACTGGACAGGGGTGTAACCAATAATATTGATAATCCAGGAACATAATGTTCTTATCCATCTCTTTCCCTGGGTGTTGCTGATTTTTTCAGTAGCAATCTAAAGGAGCCTTAAAAGATTAGAATTCTAGGAATAGTACTGGTTCCCCAACCTTGTTCTAGCACTAAGTTCCCTGGACATATAGAGGTGTCAGCAGTAACTGGCTCATCCCAAGGTTCATCACAGTACTTTTCGCAAACTGACTTGGGCAGTGTAGCTGTGAAGACCTGGCATAGTTTCCAGGGGTGGGTACCTCAGTTACATCTAGAAAATGTTGACCTAGAGTACTGAAACAGCAGGGAGGACATGTTGAAAGGCCAACTTCATGGCTGTCTGGAGGTGGTTGAAGAGCAGCCATCAGACTAGGATGTCACATATTAGCAATTAATAGACTTTATAGAACCTAAAAGCCACCCCCACAGGCGTTACTAAAATCATAGATGTATTTTTTTCATGTTACCAGATTGTTAAGGGATCTCTAATAATAAATGAATAAAGAAATAAATAGGAGTCTCTTCTGTGTATTTAGTGGAGCCAGGCAGTCTAGGATATGAACGTTTTGTGTGAATCAGTGTATAGGTACAGGGAACACAGAGAGCTCACCCCCAGCATGTTAGGGTCTTCTCTGGGTTCACACGGTCTGGACAAAAACTGGAGCAAAAAGGCAGTTGATACATGTGACTGGGTCACAGGGTCAAGTTTGGGATGGAGACTTGGTGTTAAAGTTCCAGGTTGGTGTGACTGAGGTTGTTCACAATGACTGTGCTGCAGTTAGTTGTCAGGGACTCAGGAATCTTGAAATTGGACTGAGCCTGCAGGTTGAAGTTTTGGGTGAGCCCACAAGAGAGGCAGGGCACAGGTAGGACCCCTGACTGCCAGGAAGAGTTCGCATCCTAGGGACAGGAAGACTGTTCCTTCAAGCAGCTGCAGGTATGTGTTTGTTCTATAGAAGTACATTTTTTTAGGAATGTTAGACCAAATGGTCTCATCTGAATATCTCTATGTGCTTCAGACCTAACTAGTTTTATCTTTCATTGCAGCATCTTAACAAATATCCATGAAGTCCATCAGAACATGGGCTATTGCCCACAATTTGATGCCATCACAGAGCTGCTGACTGGGAGAGAGCATGTGGAATTCTTTGCCCTCTTGAGGGGAGTCCCTGAGAAAGAAGTTGGCAAGGTATTGTGGGTACCTGAAAGCCAGCCTGTCTCTTTGACATCCTTATACCATATCTTTTGTTTTGTTTTGTTTTGTTTTGTTTTTTTAGTCTTTTTGAGACAGGGTCTCTCACTCACTATGTAGACCAGGCTGGCCTTGAACTCACAGATACCCGCCTGTCTCTGCCTCCCAAGTGCTGGGATTAAAGGCGTGTGCCCCCCCTCCCCATCTTATACCATATCTTACAGATTTTCACACATGACATCAACCTGAGACTTTCTTCATGCATGCTGCAATCTTTGCACCTGCTCTCAGAGTGGAGGACAGGGTGGATGTGCACGCACAGGCTAGGGGCAGGGAGGAAGTGCAGTTCCCACCACATGAACCCCTTCTTCCTGCTTTTGGGCTCCGTGTTGGTTGCTGAGATTCTAGTCCTATTTAGTGAGAGACAGTTCACATGTAAGTGTAAGAAAACATGGGGAAATTACTGAGCCAGACAAAAATTGAAGTACTTTTTATCTCCCTAGGTTGGTGAATGGGCAATTCGAAAACTGGGCCTTGTGAAGTATGGAGAAAAATATGCCAGTAACTACAGTGGCGGCAACAAGCGCAAGCTTTCCACAGCCATGGCTCTGATAGGTGGGCCTCCTGTGGTGTTTCTGGTGAGTGTGACTGAGGACAGAAACTACTACTGGTCCATCCTGAATGGACAGCATGGTTTATCTCAAGCTATGTATCGTGAGACTGTGGCTAAAGGGCCTTGAAGATGCAGAGGGCAGCCATGCTACATGCTCCCAAATAGAGATGCTCCCGTTGCTTTGTTTCTTGGCCTTGGAGAATTCCCATAGTTGGGACAGAAGCCTAATGCATGATTTGGTCTTCCTTGGGGATATTCTGTGTTCATCTTCTGAAGACAGAGAGGAAATAGTTTCAAGATTGCCACAATAGCCAACTGGATCGTAGTTCCTTACAGCTAAATAAAAAACAGATCAGACTGGGAAATGACCCTTGACCCTCATTTTGTAGAGAACATTGGAGGTATTGGGGGAGAAGCCTTGAATTCAGGCTTTAATGTGACCTAGGCCATGTGGATCTGAAATTTCTCTAAGTCTAGCAAGTATAAATATATCAGGGAGTAAGCTAGAACACACACACACACACAAATACACATACACAAAAATAGCAATTTTACATAAACTTTACTCTGACTTTAATCAAGGTTTTGAACTGGGCCTGATGGCATATACCTTTAATCCCTGCACTTGGGAGACAGAGGCAGGTGAATATCAAGGCCAGCCTATTCTACATAATGAGTTCCAAGCCAGCTCTGCTACATGGAGACTCTGTCTCCAAAAAACAAAAATAAATAAGTAAATAAATAAAAATAAAATAAAGGTTTCAGAAAAAAAGCATTTTTAATAAATAATAGTCATGGAAAGATCACTGTAACTAATGGCTTTTTCCTTTCCCTATTTGGAGAAATTTCTTTAATTTTCTAAAAAGATTATTCAGAATGTTTGAGTTTCCTTCTTTTGCGAGACATTTATAAAAGTACCTTGTTACAGATGAGTTTGAAACTTATTCTGGTTTTTCTGGATCCATCAAGAACTAACTAGAATGGGAAACTAAAATCTGAGCTGCTTTAAGTATCTTTTTAGCATTTCAAGGCAAATCTATTGTTGATGTTTTTCCCCCAGCAAATAATTAAACTTGTTTTCCTCCAATAGGATGAACCAACCACAGGCATGGACCCCAAGGCCAGGAGGTTCTTATGGAATTGTGCCCTAAGCATCATTAAAGAGGGAAGATCCGTAGTGCTTACATCTCATAGGTCTGTAGTGAAGTCTTGGCATTATGTGATTTTTAAGTTTGCCAATATTATATCTTGTCATTTTACAGCAATTAGAAAACAAAGGCAACTATTAAACAGTTATCACTTGAAATTATGCCACTTAGAGACAACTCTGATTATCATTTGTATATATTTCCAAAGTTTTCTTATGCAAATCTAGATACACTTGTGTATGTGTGCATTTTTATAAACAAAAATCTAAGCATAGTACATGCACTGCTATTTCTCACCTATGATATATCATGAACATGATTTCAAGTCATAAAATTGAGCTGTGTCATCATTCTTACAGCTGGACAGTATTTCCTGAGCATCTACCCTAATTGATATAACTGTCCTCTTTGTGCAAACATTTGGGTAGCTTCCACATTATCCACAATTCAGGCCATGTCGTGCAGAACACCAGGTGTTTACCTTCGTGGCTTTTCTAGAAGATGCAGTTATGCTCTAGGAAGATGGGGATCTGTTTCTTTGAAATGCCAGGTGTCTTGGTGATGTTCTGATGGTTATAGGAGCATCTCTCTTTACTAACTCATTCTGTTTTCCCATAGTATGGAAGAATGTGAAGCCCTTTGCACGAGGATGGCCATTATGGTCAATGGGAGGTTCAGGTGCCTTGGAAGTGTTCAACATCTGAAAAACAGGTACCAGAGATCATTTCTATGGGACACGCACCTAGTGAGAAAGTGTGGTGTTTATTCTCTTGTGAGTGTATAAATGGTGGCTTAAAATAAAACAAAGGGAAATTAGACTAAGAAAATGGCATAGAGAAAAGAACATGGGCTTTGAAGTCCAAATGAACAGCATTCAAATTCTGTCTTTACCATATACTGGCTATATGACTTATAACCTGAGAGTCAGTTTTCCGAAAACTATTACTTCTGCATTTTTATATCTAAACGAAAACAAGTCACATGTGACGTTATGATTGTGAAGACAAGGTATAGTATCAATACAGATGGTTTCACATCCTAACCCTACCCCGTAGGAGTTAACTTTGAGATGTGGATCAGTGACTGAATACCTTGGGCTTCTTTATGAAATGTATCACACTTCATGGGTCCACATGAGGATTTAATAGAATCATGTATTCAAGGCTCTGAGCATGGCACTGCACATAGAATAGGTATTTGATAAATGAGACTGATTCCTTCTCTCAGAAGCTGATCTTCGGGTCTCCCTTTTTCTTGGTACACGTTGAATTTTCAAGGTTCAGTATCTCTTTGTGGCGTTTTCTAAGGCTACTCCATTTAAGTGCATTTTCCCGTTTTCAGGTTTGGAGATGGTTATACGATAGTTGTACGAATAGCAGGGTCCAACCCTGACCTGAAGCCTGTCCAGGAGTTCTTTGGAATCGCCTTCCCAGGAAGCGTCCTCAAAGAGAAGCACCGGAACATGCTGCAGTACCAGCTTCCGTCCTCCTTATCCTCTCTGGCCAGGATATTCAGCATCCTCTCCCAGAGCAAAAAGCGACTCCACATAGAAGACTACTCTGTTTCTCAGACAACACTTGACCAAGTAAGCTTTGTGTGTCAAAAATATACTTACTTCTCAGAGTTAGGATGCCTTCCCCATTAGTCCCCACCACGAGCCTGAGAGCAGTTCAGACTATCTGTGCTTGGATTCCTTCTTCATTAGTACCGACTCTGCTGTACACCAGACTTCGATGAACACACACAAAGATGGTGCTTTCTAATTTGTGGGGTTATTGTGACAATTTCTTGCATTAGGAATCATAATAACTACCATTTATGGACAACCAACCCTGAGCCAAACATTTTACCAAGTGCTTTATCCCTTTTAGATTACAAAAAAATGCCAAACAGATCTTGGCAGTTAATAGATATTCAGTAAATGTTTTCTTCCCTCCTCTCTTTAGTCAGGCCTGAATGTGCCAAAATAAGTAGAGGAGTGAGCACTTGGTGACATAGGGGGAATACAGGAAGTTAATTTTTAAGTGCTTATTGGTGTTTTCAAGTATTCTTACCTCCTTCACACAGAGTTTTCTAGTTAGACTACTCAGTTCTGTACTCTCCTACCTCATTTAATTTCAATGTAAGGAAAAATGCAACTGTAATAAAAATACAAGAAAGAACAAATCAAGAGGTATTCATGAAAGTCCATATCCTTTTGACAGGTATTTGTGAACTTTGCCAAGGACCAAAGTGATGATGACCACTTGAAGGACCTATCATTACACAAAAACCAGACAGTGGTGGATGTGGCAGTTCTCACATCCTTTCTGCAGGATGAGAAAGTGAAAGAAAGTTATGTATGAAGAGTCTTGTTCTCACAGGGTGGATGAAATGATGGAAGAGATAGATCTTCCTTTGCACCGTGTCGAGTGTTCCAGAGGAAAGAGTTGGACATTTTGTGGGAAGAAACGAACTGGATACTGTACTGATACTATTCAATGCAATGCAATTCAATGCAATGAAAACAAAATTCCATTACAGGGGCAGTGCCTTTGTAGCTGATGTCTTGTATGGCTCTCTAGTGAAAAAGACTTGAAGTTAGTTTATTACCTTAAGCCGATGTGAAACTCTCGTATGGATCCCAGTGGACATATGGGTTTGGATTCATACTTTTTTGTTCCTGTGTATTCTCACTGGGATTGCAACAAAAATCCATCAGTCATGGCCAGTGATAATCAAAGTCAAAGGCATGCACATCTTCATCCAGTAAGCCATGCTGCACCACAAAACTGGTTTCCTGGTGACACATCCATTGCTGGCGATGAGTGTGCCAGAATTACTAGTGCCAAGTTACTCAGAAAGTCTGACGCACTGTGGTGTGTCACCCACACTTGTGTGAAAGCTGCCCTGCTCAGAGTCTATCGACATCATTAAATATAAGGTGATAAAATGGTGCCATGTGTGACTAAAGTCCTGCCTTGATTCTCTCTTTGATGAGCTGCTGTTGTGGCTGTCATATGCAAAATGTGGATCTCTCTAAACCCAGGAAACTTGGTTCTGTTGTTCAATGCTGCCCCATGCTTGGGGCCATGGGTCTCTCTGGGTCATCTTTCTGAGACTGTTTGAAACACATTTAGATCCTGGTAAGAAACAAAGGATCAGCAGCCAAAATGCTGGGGCTGCAAGCTGCTGAGTTCAGGGTGTGGGATGAAAGAGCTGGTGTATTTACACGTGGGAGGCCTGGGACTGTTTGTCCAGTTGTCTACTAACACGGTACACTGCATCTCACGATCCTTTATTATTTGACGCAAGTGTAGTATTATTTCTAACTGTTTGAATTAACCTAGAAAATGAAAAGATGGAGTTTTATTTTGATAAAAATCTTTGTACTATTAATGTTATTTGGAATTTTAAGTTGTATCATGACGTCTGAAACCTTAGAATGGCCTCTGTAGAAACATGGTGGAGAGGAACGCGCTCACCTTGCTCCACTGCCTTACTGTCCCGTGAAAGTCTGCAGATGGACTGTCTGACTAGTGCCTAGTGACCAGAAAGCAATGTGGTAGTCAAGATCTTGTGCCATGTTTTATCCTATAGAATACTCTTAATTCAGTCCACCAGTTAAGTGTTTTGGGATATATGTTATCACAGACTGAGTATGGATGTGTGGACAGGAGTGAGGAAGAAACTGTCAGCAGATTTCCTGTGCCATGTATTCAGCTAACTGGTTTACAAATAGAGGTCATTTTGCTATCCCACTCTGCCCCTTAATGGCATCAGTGCAAAAGCCAAGAAAGGGTCATTAGGCTAAACAATGAACTCTTTCAAGAAGAAAACAGCTAGCTTAAGCCTTATTGGATACAGCTTGTGCTTACGACATCTAGGACCTTCAAAATAATTGGCTTTGCAGGATGTAAGACATCCAGTTAAATCTCTGCCAATCTAAAATGTTTCATGTCTTTAATCATTAATCTATCATGAAAATTAAAACAATCCATTTTTCCACGTGGAATATTTTTAAACTTTTCTAACCCATATTTAATTTTTTCATCAGCAAGCAGTTTAAAAAATGTTTTTTCACTAACTCTTTAATATCATGTTTTCAGACAAAATAAAAATATGACATAATTCCTATATGGCAAAACTCTCATTCCATCATAAGCATATTCAAATTCTTCATTACATTAACACCCTGGGAAAATCCTTATTTTAATTACTCTGATCTTATGGTCTCATTTTTAAAAACTAAGGTACTGTGAACTGTTTTGAAAAAAATCCAATTCAATATAGACTTTCAATCTTTTCTGTGGCTAGAAACAATCTATAGGTATTATGTGACCTTTAGAGTATCCAAATAGTAATCTTTCCAGTTTTCCTGTGTAAACTTAATTATTTTAGAGATTTTTAAAAAGCCAGTTCTATCCTCAAATATAATTTTCTTATATTCCCTGTGGAGATGTACTATGTTTCAGAAATTCTCAAGCTCAGACAGTTCTGCTTTTACATATTTTTTGAAATCTTGGAAAACTTACTGTGAATATGAGAAAGACAAAAGAAAACAGTCCTCTCTTGATAAATACCCAGCACAGTCCATTATTACAAAAACAGACCTCAAACTACTGTATTTTGATATTTGTACTGAAAGCGTACGCTTTGCAACTATTAAATGTTACACAGCATTCGCTCACATGTAGTTGTTATTGACTTAAAGGGATGGTCTGCTTTCTTCTCATGGTTGTATATATCAGGTAAAAAATTTTCCAAAGAGCCATGTGTCGTGTCATAGTGAACCACTTTGATACTGAAATATTAATTTGTATTCTTGTCACTATTTACTAGTAATAGTATAATGCCATAGTAATGCCGTTCTAATTCTTTTCAAATTTGTTGCATCCCTTTTTATAGAATGTTTATATTTCCATAAGGATTAGCTATGCTATTTCCCTTCTTACCGCCTAGGATGAAGCTGTTTTAGTGAGTTTTCTTTATCATTGGCTCTTCATTCCAAGCACTTTATGCTGTCTGTAATGGATCTATTTTTGCACTGGAATATCTGAGAATTGCAAAACTAGACAAAAGTTTCACAATAGATTTCTAAGTTAAATCATTTTCATTAAAAGGAAAAAAACTGAAAAAAAAATTTGTATTGTCAATAACTTTATATAAAGTATTTAAAAAAGCATATTTCTATGTTATGAGTCACAAAATAAAGCTGTGACAGTTCTGTTGGTCTATACAAATTTACTTTTGTGCATTTTTAGCACCACCTGCTGTTAAAGTGTTATAAAGCTATCTCAAAATTAAGGAATGTCTCTCCTAGTCAGTTTTAATCAAAAGTCAGAGTTTTAGAAAAGGTTAAAATGTTCTGTAAACTGAAAGAGTACTCAGAGGACACTGCTTAAAAATAAAAAGAAAGGATGTTGCAAACTTTCATGGTTCAGCCAAGATTCTGAGAAACTGGCTAAGAAGTTTAAGAGGGGTTGGAGAGATGGCTTAGCAGTTAAGGGCACTGGCTGCTCTTGCAGAGGACCTGGGTTTGGTTCCTGGCACCCACACGGTGGCTAAGAGTGGTCCATAACACTAGTTCCAGGGGATCCGGTGCCCTCTTCTGGCCTCTGGGGCATTGCATGCACAGGTGCACTTACATACATGCAGGCTAAAACAATCCTACACATAAACTAAAAATAAAGTTTTAAAGGAAATTTAAGAAGTTTTCCCAACTAACTAATGATTAATGGTTATTAAGCTGCAGTGATCTCTGAAAACACTCTAATTAGGCTTACTTAAAACAGAACTGGTTTCAAGGAGGCTGCTGGAAGATTGCTTATGGTTCTTTCTGTTTATTCAGCCAAAAATACAAGGACACAGTATGGTGTGTGTACTGGAAGGTGCAAGGAGTGATGGCAAGGTAAACATGCCCAAGGAGAAGATGTAAGAAGAGAACCGAGATGACAGACATGATCTTCCATATGACTTCCTGCTCTCCATGGTTAAGTGGGAAACAGTCTACTATACACAAGTGATGTTCTGATGAAACAGTGTTTATATATTTTTCATGATTCATTAAGAATCTATCTTGATGCTGGAGAAATGGCTCAGCAGTTAAGAACACTGGCTACTCTTGCAAAGGACCCAGGTTCAGTTCCTAGTACCCACATGATGGCCAACATCCATCTGTAACTACAGTTCCAGGGGATCTGATGCCCTCTTCTGGCTTCTGTGGGTACTGGACACATGTGGTGCACTTACATACATGCAGGCAAAACATACACACAAAATACAAGTGATAAATAAAATATATAAATAAAAGAAACAGTCTCAGTGCGACTCTCAAGTCCTGGTTCTATAGTGGCCTCTTCAGAATGGCTGTGGATGTGTAGTAAATGAGTGCTTCTTTAACTGGGGCACAGGTCTGAACTTTGTGTGAACAAAGTTCTGGATTTTTTGAATGTGCCTAGATGCCAGTACCTGCATCAAATCTCATCTTCCCCTCTTAAAGCTTTCATTGACTGTAATGAAAAGACAGAAAACCACATTTGTGAAAAATCACAATTGAGAGGATGAAATAAATGTTATTGAAAAGTGAAAAGGCAGTTAATTTAGATGGAAATATGTTGTCTGCGAGTGTTGACCAAAACATTCTTCTATCTAGAGAAAAGCCTACGTAAACTTTTCTGGATTAAAAACAGCTTTGGACCTTAATAGACTGTTGATGCATGTGTTAAATATGACAAAGTGGAGGAGAAAATAAGCAACTGCTTTCCAGGTCTTTGCTTGTTTCTTTGATAGGGTCTCCCTGGAACCCCGGCTGGCTATGTAGACCACCAGGCTAGCCTCGATCTTACAGAGATCAGCCCGCCTCTGCCTCCCGAGTGCTGTAATTAATGGCATCTGCCATCACAACTAATTTTGTTAAGTTTTTTACTGTGCTATCAGATATGTCATTGACTTTCTAAATGCTTCCTGCCTTATGAAGTAAGTCAAGCCATTTCACATTCTAAATTGATCAGAGGAATATGCTCAAAGATACAGTACTTATTAAATGACAAAGTGCTCTTTTTAAAAGTTAGGTATCAGTTAAAATTCTCCTTGTAAGATTTACTGAGCATCATTATTTCTTAATTTAGCAAATATTTACTGAGCTTTTTAGGCCAGACACTCTTCTGGGTTCTGAGGATACGATGTTGAGGAAAATATTATTTCTGGTTTAATGAATGTATTGGGGAAGGACAAATGATGGGTGGACAAACAAAACTGATGCATTCAGACAGCAGGACATGCTTTGGAGAATACAGAATATGGGAAGGGGATACCGATGGGAAGAAGTCAGAAACGACCTGTCTGAGGAGTGACATTTAAGTTCAGTTCTGAACAAAATGAGCAGGAGCAACAATGGAAGGGGGCACAAGAACAGCTCTGGGAGAAAGTACTCAGAAGCCCGAATGGGAAAAACCCTGATGAATTACAGAGGAAACAGAATTCCAAAGTCTCTGGGGAGAAGTAGTGCAGGATAGAGTCAGAGGAGGCAGAGATCAAATCTCTTAGGTTCTTGCCAACCCTGTCAGGGTTTGGGACAAGGAGCCATAGAACTTTCAACAATGTGACGTTACCATGTACGGCATAATCTAAAGCCTGTTTCAGAGTGTGGACAGCTATGGGAAGAATGGCATACGAGAAGATGAAAAGACAGTAGAGTGGACCGAGGTGCACGGAGGAAGACGGAGGAAGGGCAACGTTCAGCCTCTTCAGAGCCAGCACCACTTGCTGACGGGCTGTACGGGACCATCAGGGAAAGACTGCAATTTAAAAAAGGGCTCCTGGTTTGTGATCTGAATGAGGTAGATGCTTGTGTTTAAAACATGCAGTTGGGATTTCAGTCTGGAGCTCAGGTGCAAAGAACATTAAAACGGGCAGATCAGCAGTACAGACACATAGTTTTAAGTCTGGGGACCGGGTGAGCTTACCTGAAGAGAATGAAAATTGAAGCCTAAGGTTTAGAAGAAATATTAGGAAAGGAAACTGGAAAAGAATGGCCTGCGAGGAAGAGGGAAATTTGGTGTGCCTTTCACTGAAATGCAAAGAAATATGTATTTCTGGAAGGCAGTCATCAATTGTCTAGAACTGTTGAGATGAGTGAAGTGACAATGAATGACTCAGACAGTGGTTCCAGGGCTGGAGAATGGCTGCAGTTCAGAGCACTTGCTGCTCTTTCAGAGGACTGTGGTTCAGATCCTAGTACCCAGAAGGGGCAGCTTACAACCACCAAGACTAGGAAAGATAACAGGGGGCCCTATGATTGCAAGAGCTTAGGCCACCCTGAAGGACTTTGAGTACCAACCCAAAATAAGATAGGAAGCTATTAGGGAAGTGACATGATCTGGCTTATGTTTTACATTATTCTGGCTGCTGTGTTGAAAAAAAAAGACTAGAGTTAGGGCAGAGGGAACAAGAACAGATTAGCCAAGAGCTTTTCCCCAAATGCCAATGATAGCTTGAATCAGGTTGGTTGGGGCAGGGATATGAAGTAATCCAATTCTGGAGGCTTCGGATTTTGCTGACATGTATAATAGGGCATAAAGAAAAGAAGTCACCAAGAATGACTGGGGTTTATGATCTGAGCAAATACGCTAGAGTTGTCATTCACTGAGACAGGCTTTCTGGGTCAAAAAGAAGAGCTCAGGTTTGGACCTGTGAAATGTGAAGTTTCTACCAGGTATTGAGGTGGAGGTGTGAAGACCGGCAGTTGGATAAAGGTGGGTTTCAGGAAGTGGGTATATACTGGAGGGACTCTCCGCATCCAGGAGCCATTTGAGGCCATAAGGCTGAGACATAACGCAGGAAGTCAGTATAGTACAGAGAAGTCCAAGCCATCAGCTCTGGGGTACAGCATCATTGGAGGTCCAGGAGACAAGGTGGAGATTAGAAAGCAATCATGAGGAGAGAAGACGTAAAGTTTGGGCTTAAAGGACTGAAGACAGTAGTTCCAGAACGAAGAGGTCAACTGCTAGATCCACTAAATGAGGGCTGGAAAATGAGCTTGATGAGAGCTGACTGGCTAGCATGGTAGTAAGGTGGTGTTTAAGAGTATGAAGAGGCAGGGAGGATGACATTCTTTTGAGACATAAAGGGAAAAGGTGAGACAGAAGGTCTTCATTATTTTAAAGATGGGATAACGAATAACATTTTTATGCTGAGGAGAAGACTCTAGATGAGGGAAAACTGTAGCCTCAGAAGACAGAACCACTGTAGCCATATCCTTCAAGTGGAAGACTTTGTGTTTGCTTGGGGCACCAAGAAAAAGTAAGAAACCTTGCCTACAGGCAGTGATAGGGAGGTGGCAGTCAGTGCAGTCTCCTCTGATTATTATTTTTCACGAGTCCCCTCCCTTTGAGCGGGTCTTAAGCCCAATTAGACAGATGCTGATGACTCTCAATATAAAAGTGCCACTAATGCACCAGTAGAGAGATTATTTGCTAGGCTGGTCATTGGTGTGGTTCGTAGGCTTTATAGCTGCATGGGGTCATTGATTGGTTCTCTCGGCAGTTTGCATAGTATCTTCTGATACTATGGGAGCTACTCTACAGAGAGGAGGCTTCCAGGTCAGTTCCAGTTCGATTGCTCTCAGTCATGTGTCTGAAGTATGTCCTATCTTCAGCAATATGATCTCACCTTCAAGTTCTGGGAGGCAATCAAGGACTGTGGCAAACCTGTGTTATTTTGGGAGACCATGTATTTATTTTTCTGTTGCTGTGATAGAAACACCATAACCAAGGGAACTTATAAAAGAGTTTATTTAGCTTACTGTTCCAAAGGGGCAAGGGTCCATCATGGTGGGGAGGCATGGCGGCAGAAGTGGCTGGAGTAGCAGAAAGTAAGCTCTCACATCTTCAAGCAGGCACAGGAAGCAGAGTGTGACCGGAGATTCTGCAAGGCTTAAGAACTCTCTAAGCCCAGTGACATGCTTCCTCTAGGAAGGTCACACCTTCTAAGACCTCCCAAAACAGTGCCACCAACTGGGGACAATATGTTCAAATACTCGGAGCCAATGGAGGACATTCTCATTCAAACCACCACAGACCACCCTGAACAACAACTGGAAGGGAAGTTTCCCCTACCTGGCACTGTGGTTTTTGTTATATAGCCTTCAGCTACACATAAGCACTCATATGTACATGGTATGTGCATTTTTCAGTAGGCTTTTGAACTAATACATTTCTTTGGTTTTTCACACCACCTACGTTATCTCTCCTGTCTCTCCCTCCTCTGATTATTTTATTTCTGTGAAGTAAATGGAAAGCTTAATAACTGAGAATGAAGATGGGGGAGCAGCTGTTGGGAACCATTTAAGAGAAAAGAGTAAACCAACTGTAGAAAAGCAGAATGTTATCTTGTGAACCTGTATATATGTTACTTTCATTTTCAAACTAGACCTCTTAGAAGGCACATCTCTATCATCTTAAGTTGGAGTTAAATACAAAAAATAAGGTATATGATTTAGGCCAAGTGAACGAGCTACATGACTTAAATTAAGGGGACTCTTTAAGATAATTCTTAGTATATCCATCAAAAAGATCAAAATGCCGCTTGTCTCCTACTTTTTACTTTACTATAGCAATGGTCAAAGATAAATGATGCTAAAAGAGCCAGATGCTGCAACATTCTGAAGCAAAGTGTGAAATTACTTTCATAGCATTTTTGAATGAACTTTAATTTTTTTATTAAATTTTAATTCTTTTAACTGTAAACGTTTTATGTATGTTTGTTTTGCTTTTTTAATTTTATGTATATGCGTGTATTGCCTGCATGTAGGTCAGTGCACCATGTTGTGCAATGCCTGCGGAGGTCAGAAGAAGCTGTCAGATCCCCTGGGACTGGAGTTACAGACAGTTGTTTGCTGCCATGTGGGTGCTGGGATTCGAACCCGGGTTTTCTGCAAGAACAACCAGTGTTCTTAACCACTGAGCCATCTCTTCAGCCCCGTTTGTTTTGGTTTTTAGCAATGAAAACCAATCATATATATTCACTATATATGGTACTGTGTTACCTAAGGAAATTGTCACACGTTTATATATCGTACATGGAGAACATTCCCTTCCACAGCCCCTACCCTTCGCCTCCACTGGGCCCACTCTCCTTAGTCCCCTCTGCTCCCATAGACAGTTTTGCTTCTATTTTCATTTCTTATTACATAAAATCTAGGAACCACAAGAGAAAACATTTGACTGAAACTACTTTAATTTCAATTGCTAATTTATGTGCATGTTAAGCACACATGCACATACCAAGTCTCCAACAGTTTTACAGAAAGGTGAGAAGTGTTACAATGCTTTGAACTTTGCCTAAAGAGTGCTGACAAGGTCTGTGTCTGTGAAAGCTAACACTGCCTGCCTTTCTCACTGGTACCAGACAGGACCACAGAGCCTCTCCACCAGGGGTTACCAGCATGCTGTTTATTACCAGCATCGTATTTCACTATATAGCTTAACACGTATATAAAGTTGACACATTATTATGATGTCATTACCCCACACCAATACAGTAAGAGCTTCAGAGAAGAAGATATAAATATACAACACACATTTGAAAGAATCAGAATGTATGTGGAGGCTTTTATTAGGGCACACACTTCCTGAATTACAAAGATCTCTGAAATAAACATCTCAGGATCTTTGTGAGATACAAGAAAAAGCAAACAACAGTAAAAATCAATTACAAATAAACATTTCAAAACCATATCACACAGCAACAAGTAGACTGTATCATTTTCTAACTTAGATTAATAATTAAAGTGAAACCATAATAAACACAGGTGGCCACATGAGACTGTACTTTTTCGAAGTCATGAAATATGCTCAATTTGATTTTTTTATGAATTCCATTTGATATCACAAAGTAAAAATTACTGGGTAAAAAATAATTTTCAATCTCAGAAAAAAAGACAAGATATTGTGTATAACTATTTAAAAAATATTTCCAGGCAAGGAAATTCAAAATTATTTGAACAGAACACAGCAATCAGTTCTAAAAATACAGAAGATTTGGAAACAAAAGTAATGGCAACTATTTCTGACGTCTAATAGACATGAAACGTCATGGAGGAAATGAACATGACTGTTTCCTGAACTGGTTGTGATAAATGGCATAGGTAGCCTTAAAAATGCAGAGGAGACAGTGAATTAACTTACCACCTCCTTCAAATAAAAGAACAGCTCTCCTGGGAGAACTTAAGCACCATCAGGGGACACATCTGATACCAGGTAATGACACTCTGGCATTTCAGTAGAAAGCTACTTCAGTGGTGAAAATGACGTGGGAATCAGGAGCATATTCTGCTGAGTCTCTAGGTAGTTGACACTTTCCCGAACTAAAAACATTTCAGAAGACATAGAAAGTTATCAGTGGAATCAAATTAGTTCTAATAATAACCCACACCTAGTGAAATAGCTCACCAGCAGCCACGACTCTGGGATCCTCATGAGAAAGATGTCTTCCAGCTGCACGACTATCCGCGCTCTCGTTCCACCAGAGAACATGGACTGTAGAAGCAAATCATGTGTTTGCTTTAATTCTTTATAACAGGCCTTTTCATTTGTTTTGTTTGGGTTGCTGTTTTGTTTTACTTTTTGAGACAGGGTCTCACTATGTAGCTCCAGCTGGCCTGGAACTTGCTATGTAGACCATCTAGGTTTGCCTTGATCTCACAGAGATCTGCCTGCCTCTGCAGCCTTCCAATTAAAGGCATGTGACAGCATGCCAGCTTTCTCTCCTTTTTTTTTTAATGAGTGTCATACTGGCCATGGCAATCTGGGGCATTGTGAATGAATGCTAGGCAAGTGTGCCACCACTGATCTACATCCCTGGCCCTGATAGTCTGTGTGTGTGTGTGTGTGTGTGTGTACACATGCATGTGTACACGTGGAGGACACAGGTCAGTATTGGATGTTCTCCTCAAACTGTTCTCTACTTTATTCTTTGATTCCGGGTCTCTCACTGAACTTGGAGTGTAACAGTTCAGCTAGACTTGACTCGCCAGCCTCCTCTTCCATCTCCTAGGCCTGGGGTTATAGAGGGGTCCCAGTGCAAGGTCTTCATACTGGTGCTGTGTTTATCCACTAGAATGTTATGAAGTTATCAACAGTCATGCACAAACACTGTTTCTAGCTTTTTCCTAATAACATTTTGGTCTTTGTATTCCTGTGTTGTTTACGTATGTATAATAGTATTACCTTTAGAAATAATAGGTAATTTTTTAGTATTTATAAAAATGTGTATTACATTTTCATTCAGAGACAATCTCTACCTCAAATAACATTATTTTGAAAAAATGAAAACAAGACTTTTAGAAGAAAAAGAATGAAAATAATAATTTCTTAAAGATTCATCTAGCATCTAAACAACAGTTCAGCATTTGAAATAGGTTTCAAAAGGTATTAACATTCTAAAAGAAAAACAGATATAAGCCAGTGCCTTATAATAAAAAAAACCTAAAAATTTGGCAATAAAAATCAAAATCATAATTAAAAAGAGAGATAAACAACCCAAGAAGCACAGTAGACCACACAATACACTTTCCCAGAGATGGACAGCTGACCTCTGTTGAGTGCTCCATATTCAGTGTGAAAAACACCGACTAGTTTGCTATAGCCAAGATCAACATGGGCATTAACTGCCCTTTTGAACGCATCACCCCACAGAGCTGGGCCACCAGGTTTCATCTGAAAAGTAGCCAGTTCATAGACTCCTAGAATAAACAGAAAAATAAAATTAACAGAAGATAGTCAATTTTAATTATCTTTGAGTGACAGGTAACCCTATCAATATATTTATGTTTGAAGGATCAGGCACATGTACAGATGCTTGCTTATATGTTTAAAAATGTATTGTCTATGCTCAAGGTTAATTTGTTAAGCTTAATAACAGAGGGAAAGCAGAAGCTATATATGAACAATTACATGAAATATTTTTAATCTGTCTACAATATCCATGTACAGATACTGAGAATTTATCATGACCAAGGATTTTATGCTGTTTTAAGTCTATAAGAAAAGTCCTAAGAGAAGTGTCTTCTGACGGTCTGCATTTCCTTCTTCCTCTCATTCTAAGGGTGGTATCATAGTCATTAGTGTCTATTCCTAACACGAACAGCAAGGAAACAGCTGACCTACAGTCATACCTGAGTTTCTGAAGATAAAGAATCAAAAAATGGTTTTATTGTTCACATCCAAGTGTCCCTTGAAAAGACTTTTAACCTCTAGTCAGAAATATAAGGTAGGTAGAGAGAAAGAAACTGGGGATAAGTAGATCAGACAAGAAAAGAAGTACAAAGTCATTACAGAATCATGTACAACACAGGGGGAAAGAATCAAGATTTGGGGCCAGTGAGATGGGTCGGTGGGTAAAGGTGCTTGCTGCCAAGCCTGACAACCTGAGTTTGTTCCTAGGAACCCACATGGTGGAAGAAGAGAGCAATTTCTGCAAGTGACCCTCTGACCTCCATGTGTGTACCACGGAACACCCACCTGCCCACATACCTACCTACCTACCTACCTACCTACTTACCTACACACACACACACACACACTCACACAATAAATATAAACAATTAAAAAAAGAGAGTCAAGATTTGACACTGCAAGAACTGCCAACTATTTTTAGACAGTGCTGAGAGGCAAGGTGAAATCTAAGATAAAGATCTCAATGAGACTTTTCACATATCTTGTCATCTAAAATACACTGTAGACTTAGGAAAAACAGGGGAAATAAAACAAAGCTTAAAAGATATTAAATGCTTTTCTAGCCTGACCTTTCTTTAAAGCTGGACTGAGATAAAGTTTCTTTAAATCAGCAAGAGGGAGACAGAGAAGTTAGACTACAGTAATGTACCATGGCAGCTCCAGCTAGTTCACTCCTTCCAAATAGTCCACTGTATAAATAAAGATGTGCTTGATTTAAGACTGTGCTGGACAGCTTCAGTGTCAACTTGACACACCAGGAAGAGGGAACCTCAACTGAGGAATTTCCTCTGTTGGACTGGCTTGTGGTCACACAGGTAGGGCATTTTGATTGTTGAGTGCCCTTGTGGAGTGGTGCCAACCCTGGGCAGGTGATCCAGGCAGGTTGTATAAGAAAACAAGCTGAGCACAGCCAGGGAAGCCAGCTAGTAAGGAACATTCCTCCACGGGCTCTGCTTGAGTGCCTGCCTCCTAGTTCCTGTTTTGAGTTTTGGCCCTGATTTCCCTCGATTATGGACCATGATGAGGAGGGACAAGCAAAAGAAATCCTTTCTTCCCAAGTTAGTTTTGGTCAGTGTTTTATCACAGCAATCAAAAACTAACTAGGACAGGCTGACCTGTGGCCATGTCTGTGAGGCATTTTCTTAATTGCTGGTTGATGTAGGAGGGCCCAGCCCATTGTAGGTGGTACTATGCCTGGACAGGTGGCCCTAGGTTGTATAAAAAGCAGGCTGAACACAGGCTAGAGGAACAAGCCAGTAAGCAGCATTCCTCTATGCCCTGTGCTTCAGTTCTTACGGCCAAGTTCCTGCCCTGCTTAAATTCCTGTCTTGACTTCCCTCAGTTATGGACTGGCACTTGGAACAGTGTATTAGTTACTTTTCTGAGGCTGTGATAAGGCACCATGACCAAGGCAACTTAGAGAAGGAAGACTTTATGTGCCTTACTGTTCCAGGGGAGAGAGGCCATAATGGTGGAGGAGGCATGGTGGCAGAGGTATTGAGAGCAGAAAGCCCAGTGTGGTCACATCTTCAAGCAGGCACAGGAAGCAAAGAGATTGGAAATCCAGCAAGGCTCAAGAATTCTCAAAGTCCATTCCCAGTGACGTGCTTTCTCCAGCAAAGTCACACCTTCTAAGACCTCCCAAAACAGCACCCCAACTAGGGACAAAATGTCCAAATACTTGGAGCCTATGGGGAACATTCTTACTCAAAGCAACACAAAGAGTAAGATTAAATAAACCCTTTCCTCCCTGAATTGGTTTTGGTCAATATTTTATCCAGCAATAGAGAAACAAATTATACAAAGCTGTTATAATTTGTTGAAAATATTTTTATATTTAAATGTTTATATTATTTAAGCTAGCACAGTGGTACATACTTATAACCTCTGCATTTGAAAAGTTAAGGCAGGAAGATTGTGAGTTAGAGGCCAACCTGACCTACACTAGTGAGACCTTGTCTCAAGCATAAAAATGAGGAAATTTCAAAAAATAAGTTCATGTTTAATACTATATAAACATTTCCTATATTGTAGGTAAGCTTTACCAACCCACAAAAGTCTTAGTTTGGAAAAAAAAGATCTTCATTAATTAATTTTCATTTCTTTGAGGATAAACTAAGAGGTTTAAGTTAGTTTTCATTTCAATAATCACAGCACATTCTTATATTAAAAAATCTATTTCTTGGGGCTAGAGAGATGGCTCAGCAATTAAGAACACTGGCTATTCTTGCAGAAGACCTGGGTTCGAATCCCAGCACCCACATGGCAGCTAACAACCATCAGTAACTCCAGTTCCAGGGATTCCGACGGTCTCTTCTGTCCTCCATGTGCATTGCACGACACAGGTGCACTTACCTACACAGCAGGCATGACACGCATACACATAAAAATAAATAAATTTTAAAAGATGTGTGTGTATATACATTGTGTATGACTTTTGTTTATCTATAACTTAACAGCTTTACTATTTTAGTGATTAAAACTCACAGAGGCTAAGAGGAAAGACTCACCTTCCTTGGGAGGCTTTCCTATTTTGCACCATGGTACCAGGTAGGTAATCTCACTCTCTTGTTTATCAATGAGCGCCAAATTTGGAATGAGGAACTGTTCTTACCATTCCTTATCCTTGGCCAAGGCTTCATGAACTGCAGTTCGATGAGCAAAATTATCTATGGGAGAAGAGAATTGAGAAAGTTTAAAAAATTAACTTAAAATCATCTAGTAAAACCAGTGCATCTTTAGATTGTACCCAAGCCAGCAAACACTTACCTGCAGCAAAACACTGTGTTACGGCTTTGAAACACCCAAATGAAGAAATGCGCTATCTGCCTCAAGTCACTTATGGTCCTCAAGGAGAAACAACAGAAACAACTATTGTAATCTCACAGAATGGGCGTCACAGATTTTTACCACTTTGAAGCTGTATATGTGAGTTAAGTTATTCTGTTTCTGTGCTTTGTTTCCTAGTCTGTGATAGGAGAAAACAGCATAGTATCAGCCTCCAGGCTTATGGTGCGGATTAAATGAATACAAGTAAGAGGGCTTAGAGCCGTGCTCAGCACTCGGTACTCAGTATCTGTCGACTATTCTTATTATTCAACTGAGGCATTTTACTGAAAGTCCCAATTTATAGAAAGAATATTTTTACTTCAGCAGTGGTGGCAGGTGGTCAAATCAAGTGTTTATTGAATCCATTTCAACACAGAAAAATTAGAATGCACTTGGTAAGCCTCTTCTTTCAGCTTTTCAAGAAACAGCGCCGATTCTCTCACTACTGTCAGCTTTTCTGTCTCCTCAGCATTTATGTTTCTGCTCGGTAACTCAAGCAGGGACACACATTCACCAGTGTGTGGACCCAGCACTCCATTTACTACTGGAGTCTCATGGGAGGACTGTTAAGAGCTCCATGTGGCTTCTGAGGATGAGTAATAATACCCTCTGAATACCTAAATGAGGTATTTCAAGGTTTAGTGTTCTTAATGGGTCATGATTAAAGTGCCCTATCTGAAGGGCACATTATTATTTTAATGGGGCTTGTTTTGTTACAACTTGGAAAAATCTTGAACTTGATAATGGTAGATACAGAATCAACATTTTTCATAGTGAAGTATTTTATGAATATTAATTTGGACACGGAGGGACAAATTCTAAATGGAATTATTAAGAGTTCTTTGGGCAGCCTCAAGCCCTGATGTGGACTGTTAAGACACAGGATTCTGGGGACTCTTGTAATTTGTTCTCCTTCCTTATGGGAAAGCCATCTTCAGAGTGGGAAGAACTTTCTCCACTTCCTTTACCTTAACTTTGCTGGGTAACATGACAGTGAATTCTTTACAAGTGTGAAGAAATGAAACGGAAGTGATCACTAAATACAACAAGATCATTAAATCTCAAGAGCCGAGAGACACTTAAAAGTTGACTGTCATTCCCTCTCAAAGTCCCTAATTATACAAATTATTTTCACTAAAATGCTGATAACTAGCTCTAGCTTTATTAATAAAAAAAAAAAAAAGATACTCCGTTCACTTTGTAATCTGCATCTACTTGGGCTTTTGAAAGCATTGTTTTAAATTTCATAAAAAAAAATGTATTTTTTTCCAGGCTGGAGAGATGGCTCAGTGGTTAAGAACACTGGCTGCTGTTACAGATAATCTGGGTTTAGGAAGCTAAAAACTGTGTATAACTCCAACTCCGGGGGCCTTCTGGTTTCCACAGGCATTGTATAGCATGGGTGCACTTACACACATGTAGACAAAACACTTATACACATAAAATAAAATAGATAATATATGTTTTTCAACAAACCATTTTAAAACTTCTTGAAGATTAATGTTTAGTTGACAAAGTTAGGATCGATTAGGAGTCTGCATGATCCCATTCATGTTGGCCATAGAGTTTGAGCAAGGTTGAGCAAAAGGGTCACTGAGTAATTACTAAATTTACTTGGCTTTGGTCCTGCACTGCTTTTAATTTGTCTTATTTAACCTATATATACAGATAGAAAAATACAGATAGAAAAACTGAGCATGTAACATCCAACAGAACCTGGGTGATTCATACCATATTTCCAAATATGGAATACTCTGTTCATTCTGCCTCCAAATTCTATGCTCCAATATCCAACCAATTCAGAGTGAGCTGTTCGAAGGTGAACATTTTTCTTAAAATTTTCCAGGAACTCATTCATCTTTGAGGGCTTGAGAAAATAGGTACGAAATTCATATAATGTTCCATCACTTTGCCTGGGGCCTGTGGCAAAAGATGAACGTATCTGAAAAAAGACAAAGGAAATTTAGGTATTTTTAGTAAAGGTAAGCTTTATCTTGTTATAATCATATGGCTGAGCCTGGAAACAAGGGACACACAGTAGACAAATCATCTATATTCCTATTTCTCCCATCTACTCGTTATAGACATGTTATGCAGAGATGCCAATAGACATAATCACTGTTAAATACACCAAAATAATGTATGGCTGCTCTTTCCCAGCAGGAAGTTATCTTTAACTACATTCTCATGAGAAGCTGCTAAAAAGCAATCCCTGGAATTGTAATAATAATAAGCTTGCCCAAAGATCTACAATTAGGATTCTTGTAAGTTTAGAGTTTTCTTTAGTCAAAATTGTATTAGTCAACAGAATATGTACTAGAGTTGCCCATTGAAAAGAAGCTTGCAAATTCGGTAAGCATGTCTCTTGGCAGTCATAATGAAAATGTTTACAAGTAGAAGATGTTGGGGTTTCTGAAAAAGGACTATTACTATTTAGATCTAAACATTTTTTAATGCTCAGTGATATAAATTACTGGTCAAAAAGCGGACTGGAATGTAACTAAGGCAGTAAGACGTTATGTACCATCAACTGCACTGCACATCCACTCTATTACAGCATAGTGGACCAAAAAGTGTAAAAGGAAAATTCAAGGAGTCAGAAGTGTTTCGAATCATTAGTCTCAAAAGACAGATGCTGTGAAGGGCATTTAATGCATCCAGTTATCTAGGTTGATGGAAACAGCCCTTAAAAGTCATGCGCTCTGTACGAAAACCTTCATGTTGTGATTTAAAAACTATGAGGAAATGCCTTACCATAAATTATGTTGTGTATCATTACACACACATAAACTGACACAGCATTCTAATTTATAAATCCATTTTATGTAGGCTGGATTAGCAGGTGCTCATTTTCTGAAGCTAATTACACCAGTAAAATAGACCAAAGTATTTTGGTACCTAGAGCTAGGGCCAAATTAAGGTTTATCCTGATTATCAGCATGACTAATGAAAGCAATAGGCTTTTACTCCATTTTTGTTTACAAAACAGTTGAATATGAAATTTAAAATAGTACAATATGAATTTTATCTGTGCATAGGGTTAGAATAATCATCTACGGAGTTCATTTCATTCAAGATTATTATGAGTTATAGTCATATTACCCCAGGTGACTAATGTTGCCACCAAAAACACTGCAGTGTTTGTGTTTGGTAGACAAGTTTTTTGTGGTTTTTTTTTTATCTACTTGTAGCCCCAGCTGACCTAGCTGACCTGGAACTTGCTATGTGGACCAGGCTGGACTCCATCTGGCTGCCTCTGTCTTCCCAATGCTGGGATTAAAGGCTTGTGCCCACCAAGGCTGGTTCAGCTTTTTGCGTTTTTTTTTTTTTTAACTTTAAAACAAAAAATTATTCTTTTTATTTTATGTGTATGCATATATTGCCTGCATGTAGGTATGTAGGTAAGTGCACCCATGTCATGCAATGCCCGTGGAGGTCAGAAGAGGCTGTCAGATCCCCTGGGACTGGAGCTCCGGATAGGTGGGTGCTGTGATTCAAACCCCGGTCTTCTGCAAGAACAACCAGTGTTCTTAACTGCTGAGCCATCTCTCCAGCCCCCAACTTTTTGTGTTTTTTAACCACACTGTTAATAACAGAATATTAACATTATTAACAAAATAAACAGCCTAGCACCTACAATGTTCAATCCCAGAGCTTGGGAGGCAGAGGCAGGCTCATCTTTTGGAGGCCAGGCTGGTCTACATACCCAGTTCCAGGTCAGCCATAGCTACAAAGTGAGAGACTATCTTTTTTTTTTTGTCCTTTTTTTGAGACAGGGTCTCCTTGTAGCCCCAGCTGTCCTGAAACTCACTATGTAGACCAGGCTGGCTTCAAACTCACTCCCAAACTGGGATTAAAGACGTGCACCACCACTCCGGGCAGAAAAACTACCTCTACTTAACATCTATCACTGAGCACAGCTCTAGGGTCCCACAGGCCCCGCCCATCTCCGGCACTCGAGTCCCCACCCACAGGCCACGCCCACCTCCTGCACACTGGTCCCCACACCCAACCCGCTCCGCACACCTCCTGTATTCCGGGTCCCCACACCCCACAGGCCCCGGCCATCTCCTGCACTCGGGTCCCGCCCACCTCCCCCGCTCATCTTTGAGGCGGCCCGCGGCCGGTACCTGAGGCGGGAGCGTCCGCAGGGCCAGAGCCCGGTTCAGGCCGTTTCGCAGGGCGAGCATGGCGCGGCGGCGAGCGCCCAGGAAGGCGGTGGCCGAGCTCTGAGACGCCCCTCTCACGGCTTCCTGGAGGCGGACGAGGCACCAGCCAATCGGCGGACACGGACTGGGCGGGGCTCAGGGTCGCCTCTGCCGCGGCCGGGGAGGGTCTTGCCCTGACGTCAAAGGTGAAGTTCCAAAGAGCCGGAAGCCAACATCATCCAATTCCACTTGGGTCTCCACCTCAGTGGCTCCCAGAGCAGATGTTTCTGTAGGTGTTCGGGAGCGCGTGGGTGCGTTAAAGTCCCGCCGGTGACCTGGTGGCACAGACCCAGGAGCCTACATCTTTATGCGCTGAATTCTTTGCATCCTATAGTCACCCCAGCATGGCCTTGGGAGGCTTTTGAAAAACATTGAGTTCATTTTCCTGGAGCCCAGAATGGTGGTGCCACTGCCCTGAAACGAGAAATTCAGTCCACACATATGGAGATTGAAATAAAATAGTTCTTAAACACCCAAAAGGAAAGTATAACCAAAGATGAAAGGGGCCAATATAATTTCATAAGAGTCCATATGAATAGCTAAAGACTACATAACAAGCAACAATGCCAGACAGGCGATACCTTCTTTTGAGTTGTTGGCCACGGTGGCCAAAGGGATTCCCAGATAGTAACCCAGCATAGAAGTGGGAAAATGAACAGCAGACCCCAGTCTTATCCAAAGGAATATTGACAACTGATTACCGCTAGATGAGGAAGAGCTGACCCTCCTAAAACAAAGACCTCCAGATAGGCTGACTAGATTCACCAGAAGGGCAAGTAGTGGGGGATGCTGAGGGTGCCGACAACACAGCAGACAGTAGCCGGGATATCAGAGTATAAGGGCTCTAGTGGGAGGGGGTGGGAGAGTTTATGGGAGGGTGCTATCTGGGAAGTGGGTGTAAAAACAAATTTTTTTTAAATTAAAAAAAAATAGTTCTGCGAAATAAAAACAGACCTTTCACATCCTCTGATTTTTGGCATTCAGAATAATTTCATTTACCATTTTTGTTTTTCTAATGCATGTCTTCCCCCCCCCTTGGGCATAATCTAGTATTTGATGATTTTCCAACGAAGGATACTATGACAGTTTAGAACTCAGCTTACCACTCTTCCCAAATGCAGTCTTTCCCTCTTTCTGTTGTTTAAATGGCTAATTCATCACAATACCTGATTAAAAAATAGCTCTTTGACCACCTGGCTAATGTACACTAGTCTACATCATTTAGTGTTTATCGGGGTGAAGAACTCTTTTAATGTCATGAACTTGGAAATTTTGTGAGCCTTTGGATTTTGTGTGTGTGTGTGTGTGTGTGTGTGTGTGTGTGTGTGTGTGTGTGTTTGATGCAGCGTCTCCTTGTAGCCCCAGCTGGCCTCACTATGTAGACCAGGCTGGCCTCAACAGAGATTCACCTGTCTCTGCCTCCCAAGTGCTATGATTAAAAGCGTGCCCTGGAAGACTCCCGGCCCTGGAAGACTTTTATATGCTTAGCAAATAGTATTGGTATAAAGTAAACAAATTATGTTGAAACCAAATCGTTACAATTTAAAGGTAAGTTACTGAAAAACATTTCTTTATGTAGGTATTAAATGACAATCTAATGGTGGATGTAAGATAAAAATTTTAAGTCATGATGAGAGTAAAATGAATTTTGATATATTTACAGCAACTACAAAATATAGCATGATATCTATGATTTTTATTAATTACAACATCACAGGTTCTGATAACGTGCTTCATTCGCTCCTTTTATGACCAGATGAAATGCTTAGTTTCAGCACTCAGTTACAACAGAGATATAATTTTATCCATCCAATTTACCAGACGCTTTGAGTGTCATCGACAGCTTTGCACTGCGCACACCACTGCTCCTGGAGTACATATCCAGCTGAGTTGCTGACTCACAAGGTAGGGGCACATTAATCTGAACTAAATAGTATTAAATGTTTCCTAAGTAAACTTATACTCCTCACAGCACTGTATAAGGCTTTCTGACCATGTTTTATTATTTTTCATATAGTCTATACATGGAAATACATTTGTACCTCTCATATAACAGATATCAGTTACAGGATGGTAGAACCATGAAGCAGGCAAAAAGAACCACCGACTTGATGGAGTTTCTGCTTGATTTTGTCAAAGGTCAGGCGTGTGCAGCTGTGCAGAAGGAAGTAGGTGCAGTGATCTACTGCTAGCCCAGCTGGCTGGAGGCAGGTACAAGTCAGACTACCATCTCGATCTTCATCCCCAGAGAACTTTCTTTTTTCAGAACTATATTCTAAGGCCACTAATGGTGTCATAGATGAACTTCTCTTTCTCTAGGCCTTGAGCTTGTTTGTATACATTTATGTTTGCATTTTAAATAATTTATTTACTTTCAGGTGCTAGGCATTGAACCCAGGGTTTCGCCAGTGCCAGGCTAGTGCTCTACCAACTGAGCTATATCTTCAGCTCCTAATTTTGCTGTTTGAGTTCATGTAAGTTAAACTATGGGTATTTAGAGTGGAGTAAATTATAGTGTGTGTGTGAGTGTGTGTGTGCGTGTGTGTGCATGTGTGTGTGTGTGTGTTATGGTGTATGATGCTTATGTGTCAGAGAAGACCATGTCAGTAACAATAAGTTACTATCGTGATGTTTATGTTTTCTGTATTAGTCTTAAAGGGACTTATAATAGAAGTAAAAAATCAATATTCACTTAATGTTCTTTAACAGGGTTATGTGTTGCTTTATTATTAAGGAACTTGCAATAAAAGTAGAAATCAATTTTCATTCAATGTTCCTTAATAAGTGTCCTGCTTATATCATCAAAGCATCTGTTGTGTGTTGAATATTGGAATGAAATGCATGTGGAAGGAACAAAGTGTTCTTTCCTTTCTTTCTTTTTTCTTTCTCTCCTCCCCCCCCCTCTCTCTCTCTCTCTCTCTCTCTCTCTCTCTCTCTCATCTTTTTTGAGACAGGGTCTCTCTGTAGCCCCAACTGGCCTGCAACTGTGTAGACCAGGCTGGCCTTAAACTCACAGAGATCCACCTGCCTCTGTCTCCCTAGTGCTGGGATCAAAGGCATGAGCCACCAGGCCCGGCTAAGACTAAATCTTCTTGAACTGCCAGCAGGTGTTCATATTTCTGTATCTGCCTCTTTGCTATTAACGTTTTTAGGCTCGGCGGTAGGAAAGGTTTATAAATGTCTTTATTTTTATAGTATAAATTTATTGTTTCCATTAAAGTATTTTATTACTAAAATGCATGAAAATACACAATATATATTTTATTTCCTTTAAAAAATACCCTTTTGGCTTTCTTCAGGTTTGGAATTGAAGTTAACTTTAGTGCAAGTGACATTCTAAGCCCCATCAACCATAAATGGAGTTATTTGCCAAGCTAGGCTATGTAGGCTGTTCGATCTTTTGAATGTTCTCTGTGCTTCCCAATTGGACTGAGGGAGAAATTTTTTGAGGAACATATTTCTGGACCCTTTGCAATTTGTTTTAAACTACTATCATTAAATATAGCTTTTTGAGGCTTTAATCTATTTTAGTTTTACTTAGCTTTTACTGATCGCTTTTACTGTATCTTTAGAACTTTTAATACTTTATTCTTGATATTGTATTGAAGGTTGGTGCATGAATGCAATGTGTGTTCACATAACAGGAATCTGTTGTCTCTTTCTGTTTCAGAATACAACCTAGGCTTTCTCCACACACTCTTTGTGATCTAAGTTCAAACATCTCTCTGTCTTTTATGAAGGTTGACATAGTTTAATGGAAAATCAGAATTTTGCAGAGTAAAATTTCCTCTGGAAACCATTCTAAGTTCCATTGTAGTTTAATAGTGCTAACAGCAGTCGGCTTCATACTTAGATTATTTTCTTCATATATCAAGACATCTAGTGTTAAGAAAAATAGTTACAGATTTTTCCCAATCCCTGAGAGTTTTTGAAATCCCTCCCACTTAGCATAAAACAGAAACTGAGAAGGTGGCAGTCACAGCTTTAGAAGCTGCTTCAGAATAATTCTTATTTCATACTATACTTCATTGGAATTTGGTTGGTTTTGAGTCTGTGGTTTTTGGAATGAGATAAGTTAGTGAAGTCTTCTAGCATAGTCTTTCATGATCGTTTCTTAAATGAGAGCTTCTTGATACCTTATTTGATTCTGTCCTTGGCCTGTTCAGCTGTCCTTCTTTATGTTCAGGAGTTAATAAACATTTATTTCCAACACATACCACATTCCTTCATCTCTCTAAGAGAATGCCTGTGACACATATTTCCTAGACAAGAGACCATCATATTCTAATGTGCCTTAGGCTTTGTAGGCACTGGATGTTATGGTTTAGACACGAAACATCTCCTGAAGGCTCATATGTTGAAGGCCTGGTGTGATGGTTAGTTTCAACTGTCAACTTAAGCAATCTAGAATCACTTGGGCAGAGTCTTAATGAGGAATTGAATCAATTAAGGCTTGTCTCAGTCAGGTTGGCCTTGGGCATGTCTGTGAAGGAATATTTTTTTTTAAAGTTTTTTTTTATTGAATTTTTGCAATTTCCATACAGTATAATTTGATGACATTTATATCCTTTCCTGTCCACACTTCTCCACATTACCCCCCACACTCAATTCAATATACTATGTATATATTATGAAGCCTATAGAGTCTGTTTTGAATCCCCAAATGTTCTCCAGTGTGGGTCAATCCACTGGAGCTTGCATAGTACTTGTTCCTGCTGTCACCACTGCTGTGAGTTCTTATGAGTAACTGACCAACTGTCTGGAGAACTTTGCCCGAAACTGCCCCCCACCCCCGCCATGGTCATCCACAACCTCTGGCTCTACAATCTTTTCACCTCTTCCTCTGCTATGATCCCCAAGCCCTGAGCTCCAGAAACCTGACAGAGGCGGTCCACTCAGTGATATGCACTCTGCAGCCCCTTCCTCCCCAAACATTAGAAAGCTGCAAGTTTCTGTGTCAGTCACCATCTGCTGCATACAGAAACTTCTCCAGTGAGAGTTGAAAGGTTCATTAATCTTCAACAGTGGGTGAGCACCTGATCCAGCACAGTCATTACAATCATCCCTCTTGGGAC